CTGTGCCCCCCAAGGCAGGACGCAGCGGGAAGGTGGAGGAGGGTCCTCACCTGGCATCGAACCAGCAGGCGCCTGATCGTGGGCCTCCCGCCTCGGGAACTGCCAGAGGTCAGTTCCTCTTGTTTAGGGGAACCCCCCGAGATCAGAGTTTGGAGGCTCCGCTCCCCAGCCCTGAGCTCCAGGCGGCGCCCGACTGCAGTCTTGTCGAACCAGGGAAGATGACTGCAAACTCTGGACCACGGGCTGGCGGGACCGCAGCCACGGTGAACGGGTGAACCCCGGGGAGGCTGCCGCACCTGGGCCCCCCCAGGCCCAGCCTGGTGACGAGACAGCACCCCTGAGGGGGCGAAGGGAGCCCCAGAGTCGAAGTAGGCCTATCCCGGGACCCGACCAGCAGCGGCGCTTAAAGACGGGCACTGCTGTCAAGTCAGGGCCTTGTCCTTGGCCCCGTGGGATCGGAGCCTCGGGTCCTTAGGGTTGGGGTCGAGGCGGAGCTCCGCGGGCCGGGGAGCACCAGGGAAGGCGGGTGCCTTGGGGTCGACTGTGGAGGATTTTAGCAGCCAGTTGGTAACCCCGTTCTGCAAAACTGAACTCACTCACCATCACACAAATTATGTGAAAAGCGGAAGTGATAAAACCTCAAAACTCACCACTTTGCAACGATCCTACTACATTTTACTGCTTCTATTTTAGGTGAAGTGTAAGTGGATACTTCTATTCACTGACTCTGTGATGCAAACCCCACCCCAACCCACCGTGAGTCCAGTGACCCACGACTTGGAGGGCTCGTGACCCAGCATGCAGGAGGGTTTACACCCCGTGGGAACCGGCGAACGCTGCTGTCGGGAGTTGGTTTTCAGGCGACTTGGGAGGGGACGTTACATCACAGGCAGGAGGGTGGGAGCGTCTGCAGGCGCCACGGGAGATGTAGTCCAGCACTTCACAGGGGAGGTGACTGTGTCCCTCCTGAACCCAGGCTGGCGCCCTGTGTGGGGGCCGCACACGAGGTCACCGGTCGTGCAGGTCACCCAGCTCGGTGAGCGCCAGTACCTGCCCCTTCCCATCAGAGTCAGGGGGGCTTCGGCTAGCCCCGGCGCCCACTACCTCCTGGGGAGCGTCCAGAGCAGTGTCCGAGGGTCCTAAGGCCCCGTCCCCTCCTCGTCCATGGGACTCAGGGTCACCCGATGCAAGCTCAGACTGGCAGCTGGCCCCTCTGAGCTCCCGTGAGCCCCCTGAGGCCCGATGCCCCACCTGGCTCCCCACCTGCCGGGAGGAAGAGGCTCCCACCAGCGGAGATCGCCTCACAGACGACGGGCGAGCCCTACTCTGTGTCAGTTAACCCTGTGTCTGCTGTTTCCTAATCCTCAGGCCACAGGGGCACATTCTGGGGTGGCCCCTAGTGCCACCTTCACATCCAGCCAAGGCCCATCCAGGTGTCTGGGGGTGACACAGACGCACCCGCGGCATCTCTGGATGTAGCACCAGGAGCAGTTGGGCACCTCGCCTGGGGACCCTTCTGCAGACTCGCTGCCACCCGGCTTGGAGCACCTGCCGGACCCCAGGGCGGGGACATCCTGCAAACACAGGGAGCCCGGCCACCCTCGGTCACGGGCCGGGGCAGATCATATCGAGGGTGCCTGGTTGGCTCAGCCAGCAGAGCCTGTGACTCTTGGTCCTGGGGTCGTGTGTTCAAGTCCCACGATGGGTACAGAGACTACTTAAAAAAAAAAAAATTAAATATCTTTAAAAAATTTGGAATGGCCTCTCCAGAAGGGACCAGATGTGAGAAGGGGAACTGCAAAGAGGGCCGCAATTACAATTGTGCCTGGGCTTCCTGCATGGAGATAAAATTATGCCCAAGTGGTTTTCCAGAGAGCGAAACAGCAATGCTGTGTGACCCAGCAGCCCGCTCCTAGGGATGAGGTCTTGGACTCCAGGTGAGGCTTGGTGGGGTGAGGTCTGGGGCCACGACCAAGAATTCTTGAGACATCTGCTCAGCCGGTCGGCCTCGCCCTCTCCCTACCCGCCCACCCCCCACTGGCGCTTTCTCTCTCCTTCTCAAACACATGCATAAAATCTGTGAAAAACAGAAAAACACTGTGTGGGAGTCCCAGTAGGGAAGAGCAGAGCACTTGCGCGCTTCCCCTCAGAGACCTCAGTGAGCTCCCCCCGAAAGGCCCCTGAGGGCTGGGGTCTGGGTCCCTCTGGGGCGGGCGGAGGCCGTGCACACTGACGGCAGAGGTGGGTGGCTGCGGGCACGGTGCTGAGAACCCACGGCCACGAGGCATGTGGTCCAAGGAGTGGGGGACGTGTGGGGACAGGGCCTGGGGACCTGTGGGGACGGGGCCTGGGAATGGGGCCTGGGGACATGTGGGGACGTGTGGGGACGAGGCCTAGGGATGAGGCCTGGGGACAGGGCCTGGGGACACCTGGGGACATGTGGGGACGTGTGGGGATGAGGCCTGGGGACGGGGCCTGGGGACACCTGGGGATATGTGGGGACGTGTGGGGACAAGGCCTGGGGACGTGTGGGGACATGTGGGGACGCTTGGGCCCTGCCTTGAGAGCAGGAGCTGCCAGACACAGCCTCCAGCACGGCTGCAGGACGTGTGCACCCTGCCTGAGCGAGCACCCGGGGACAGCAGGGCAGGGAGAGGGGCGGGGCCTGTCCCACATGGGCCGCGTGTCATTGCTGAGCTGCTCTGCACTCAGCCCGCCGCCTGGGGAACACTAGGAGACCCTCCCCGCGAACCCGGAACCCCACTGTCTCCCGAAGGGCTGCAGATTCTCTGCGTCCTCTGCGGGGGGAGCACCCGTGGGGGCCCCTCGCCCTCAGGCCTCATGGAGCCGGGGAGGTCCCCAGGCACGGCCAAGCCCACACGGTCCCGTGCGCCTTCCTGGCCACTGCCTCCGTGTCATGGCCCTCAGAGACACAGACCCAACAGCAGATATGGGCTCTACGGGGGACGCGCATGCCAGTAATCTGTAGGGCGGCCTCCCGGCTGGAAGCCCAGGCAGGATTTCTAGGCCGCAGCCCTGAAGCAGAATGCCTTCTCCTCCGGGAAACCTTAGAGCCACCCCCTGATTAGACGAGGCCCACCACATCGTCCAGGGGACTCCCCTTCACTTAGCGTCAAGCGATTCTTTGTCGACCACACGTGCAAACCACCTGCGCGGCGACCACTGGGCTGATGCGGGCACCGCGGTCTCGCCAGGTCGACACCCGACGCTGAACTCACACAACGCTTTGCGAGGGAGGGTCTGTCCCGTATGGTGGCTTCAGAGACAAAGAAGCAGAGACTCGATCTCGTGAACACGCCTGCAGCCTCGAGACGCAGTTGGGGGGTGGCCCTAGCACGCGGAGGGGAGCGGCTGGATGTCAACTGATTTCATGTTCAGGGGATTTGAAATGCAGCCTGAGCTCCGTGCCTTGCGTGCTGAGCGTTTTCCCCCGCCCCATCTCCGTCTGCATAACCCCGGCATCGCGGCCGGTCCTCAGCCACCGGGGGTGGCGGTCACCAGGAAGGGGGCCCGGGCCGGCAGGTGCGCGATCTGGCGCGTGTGCGGTCAGGCTGCCAGCCACCAACCACGGCCCCTGGACGCCCGCAGGGCCAGCCGGCCGACTGGTCGGGGGCCGAGGCCACGGGGGACCCTGAGCCCGAGGGACCCAGGTCCCCTCGGAGGTGCACGCGTGACCTTATGCCTGGCTCGTTTCCCCAGGCACCGGGTCCTCCGGGTTCATGCCCGTCGGAGCAGGTGTCACACGGCCTCCCTTTCCAGGGTGAATAACACCCGTTGCACACGCGCCACACTCGGCCTATCCTCCATCTGCGAGGGCCATGCAGGGGTGCAGCACCCAGGTGGAGGCCGGGGGACGGGTGCGCCCAGGTCCCTGCCTGTGACTCGGGTGCAAATACCCAGAGAGGGGCTTGCTGAGCAGGCCTTGCCTGCCTGCCTTCTTCCTTCCTTCCTTCCTTCCTTCCTTCCTTCCTTCCTTCCTTCCTTCCTTCTTTCTTTTGTTTCTTTCTAGATGTATTGATTTATTTGCGAGAGTGAGAGCAGGGGGAGAGGCAGAGGGAGGGAGAGGCAGATGCCCTGTGAGCGCAGCCCTGAGATTATGACCTGAGCTGAAACCAAGAGTCGGGCGCTCAAGCCGCTGGGCCCCCGGGGCCTCCTGCATGTGTCCCTTGTGAGGCCTCATGATACAGTTTCCACCGCGGCTGCACCTTTTCATGTGGGGTCGTTCTTACCCAGAGGCTTTAGGTGAGTCCCGACAGCTCCGAGTCTGGGGAGCCTGGGAAGCCCTTGGGCCCTGGACGCGCAGTCTGCTGCTGTCCCAGAGAGCCAGCGTCTACACAGACCTTCCGCGCTCCCCGACTCCCACCCCGGCCCGGGCAGGGGCTGGCGCACCCCATGGTCCTGGGTGGAGCAGGGCGGTGGGGAGACCGAGGCAGAGCTCAGTGCAGCCACAGGGGAGGCGGGTTAGCTACGTGATGAAGGTCACTGCTGGTCTCCACCTGGGTGGTGGAGGAGGGGAGCAATGTTGCAGGAAAAGCGGAGGGGGGCAGGTGCCAGGACCCTAGGGGGACGCTACAGACGAGGGAGCTGCAGCCCGGCGCCCGTGGGTCTGTGCGTGAGCACCCCGCCGCCGAGACGGCACCCCGCTGCGGAGTGAGTGCGGCCCCTGGTCCGGGGCACAGCTGCCCGGGCTCCGTAAACACCGCATGGTTCCGCCGTGGCCTGTCACGTCGCCCTGATTCTGGAACCGTCAGCTTGTCTGGGGTTTGCAGTGCCACTTATTTATTTATTCTTTATGTTTTATTTTATTTTATTGACTTGGGAGAGAGAGGAAGAGAGAGCGAACACAAGGGGGGGCCGAGCAGGGAGCCGGGCGTGGGCTCCGACCCGGGGATCGAGGCCCCAGCCCAAGGCAGACGCTTCACCCACTGAGCCACGCAGGCCCTGCTGCCCCGAGACCAGCCCCCGGGCACCTGTCTCACCGTCTGTCCGAACGATGCGGCGGCGGCGGCTTCCTCCGAGAGGCCCGGCACATTCGTCCGACTGACTTCCCACGGCGCTTGGGCGCATCCTCGGCCAACCTGGGCGCCGGCTGGGAGGTGTCCACGCGGGTCTGTGTGCGCACCAGGGCCCCGTGGTGTGCGGGGCTGTGCCGGGGGCACCTGTAGGGCACAAGTAGCTCCTTGTAAACAACCTGCTGCCGGGAGGCCTGACCTTTCGGTTTTACACCGTAAGATCCACTGGGGCCTGTGCCGCGGGGAACCAGGAACGCGCAGCCCCAAGCCCTCGAGGCCGTCAGGGGCCCGCGCTCGCCCCTCCAGGAGGGCAGAGGAGCCCGCAGCCCCACTTCCCTGCACAACGGGGTGAGAGTCGCGGCCTGGCCTCCTGGCAAGCGGTCTAGGGCGCGTGGGGCAGCGGCCTGCTGGTTCGCGGGAGCGGAGCGTCCTTCATTCGCAAGAATGTTTTGCTCCCAGCACACGTGATCGTCTGTGTCTGTAGGACCAGCAGGATTTTACCGTTTAAAAAATTCTTTTCACAAAACTCTCTCTGGAGGGGACCCTGACTTGAGAGCTCCTCTCCTTAGAATGAACTTATTTTATTTATTTATTTATTTTTTTAATTTATTTTCTCTCCTAAGATTTTAAAAGTCTGAAAGTTTTCTCTAGAAATACTTCAAGCATTGAGAGGAACGTTCTCCAACAAGACCCAACCCAGGCTAATGTGGTCAAATAACACCCCACGGAAGCTCTCAAAAAATTTTCTGTTACTAATGCAGGATTCTTAGCCCCTGAGCTGCAACCCAATTCCCTAAATTCTTACGGGAGTGTGCACGAAGACTCTACAAAAGGAGATTTTCACGGGGAATTTTTTTTTAAATGTATTTATTTATTTAAGTAATCTTGCCCGAACTGGGGCTGGAACTCAGGCTCCTGAGCTCCCAGGAGCAGCGGGCTCTCGGGGCTGCGCCAGGCAGGCGCCCAGACCGTGACTTTATTTGCAGCCATCGTAGCCGCGCATCCTTAGGCTTTCAGGGTCCCGGTGGCCGCGAGGCGCTTCTTGATGAAGTGGCTCACGAGGCGCTGTGGCCGCTGCTGGTACTTGACCAGCACGTCATGCGGGCTACTGACCTGGTCCCCGTCCAGGCGGTTCAGCAGAGTGACGCACACCACGGCCACTGCAAAGAGCAAGCAGCACGTCAGGGCGAAGCGCCCGGTTTCTCCCTGGACTCCCCAGGGCAAGGTGTCCCCTCCGGTTGCCCCTGCCCTGTTCTCACCTGACCCCTCCCAGCCCTCGCGTCCAAAAGAACCTTCAAGAAAGCAAGGCCCTTGGGGACAGGGGCCTGGAGGCTGGGCCCTGGAGGAGGGACCCCGGAGACCAGAGGCACCTACCTGGGATGCCACACGCGCTGCACATGGCAGCCAAGACTGAAGACTCCATCTCGATGTTGCGGATGCCGGCCGCGTGGGCCGCCCGCAGGTAGTCCTGCTTGTCCTTCTCGGTGTAGGAGCAGAGAGCGCCGTCCAGACGGCCTTGGCCTGGACACGCGGAGATACGGCAGCGTTGACCACGTGCGCAGAGGAAGCTCCTACTGCGTGCCAGCACCGCACTACGCGCCAGGGCACAGGGACACCAGGGATCCCACCGGCCCTGCCCACCCCGGAGCCCACCCCGGCCGCTCACGGCGAGCGCTGTGTGCACCATGGAAACGTGGAAGAGGCGGAGCCCGGGCAGGACGGACGCCCCTCACGCAGAAGCCCCACCCGCCGCTGGGAGGGGAGGCCCGGCCCGTCACCTTCGTAGAAGTCTGAGGTGCACATGGTCTTGGCCAGGACCGTGGGGAACTCCGGCAGGTCTGTGGCGCACTGCATCAGCTCCTGCGCCAGCTCCTGGTCCAGGTCTGTCCTCTGAACCACCCGCTTCCCCAAGACCATCTGCTCAAACACGGGCGAGAAGGAGGCATCCACCGCCTGCTGGGTGACGACCACGGAGCCGGGCTCCAGACCTGAAGGGAGCAGCAGGTGTCGCGGCCACACGGGGCAGACGCAGGGGGCATGCCCGGGGGAAAGGGCCCGTCTACGCACCAAAATACCGGGACACCCGCTAATGGTCTGAAACAGACTTCCTAGGGACCCATTTTTTGCATCAAATTCTTTTCCTCAAATGATAGGTGTCACGCGTAAGCAGTGCAGAGAATACGGAAGAGAAAAGAGCAAAGAGGACGACACTGCCGGGGGCGGGGGGGGGGCCTGTCCCCACTACAGGTTCCGGGTCTACAGTCCTGGCTGCTGTCCCCTGCACGCCACCGCGCGGGCGACCACGGTGCTTCCCCGGCTCCTGCCGTTAAGATTTCAAGTGACCGCAGAAGTAGACAAGGACGGTCTAGCCCTGTGCTCCCCGCACCCGGCCCAGCAGCCCCCGACTCTCAGCCAGTCCCGTTTGCCTTTGACCCTTGAGATACTCGGCTCCACATCCTAGGCTTCCCGGGCACACCTTCCCGGGGCGTCTGCACCTTGGGGGGACGTCGTTCTGCTCCTAGTCTTTGATCTTCTGAGCACTTGGGTGCTCTGACCACGAGCCCTTTCTGACACCGACCGAATGGGAAACTGGCTGCTTCAAGGTCTGGGGAGGGGGCGGGGACGGGGTGGGGGGAGCCAGGGGATGGTCCCAGCGCCGCTGGCCCGGGCCCGCCGTCCTCCTGAACCGTCACAGTCCGTCCCGCTCCCCTGCGTGTACCTGGCCTCTGTCTCCACCGGCTCTGCTGGGGGTGGGGAGCGACTCTGCAGTTGCTCCCACCTCCAGGAGGCTCAGCGGCCGGCTCCGCTCCCTCGACGCCCCCAGAATGCGGGCTCTCCTGCTGCCCGCGTCCCCCTCCGGCTGTGAGCCCCTCGGGCGGGCGCTGCTGCTGGGGGGCTCCCCAGGCCCCTCCCGGGAGCTCCCCACGGGCAGCACGTGAGCACTCGAGCCCCCCACCCCCTGCTTTCTCCCTGCCTCCTGTCCTCCCTCCGCGCTCTCTGCGGCTTTCAGAGACAGGACAAAACACCGTGGTTGGGACCCACTGGGGACCCTTTAGGCACCTTGAAGACACTTATCTTAACTTTGTCTGCCATCTGTCCCTTTGACTTTGCCGTCGGTTTCCTCCTACCGAGCGAGTCCTTGCAGGAATAGGGAGGCGCGGAGGACAGGAGAGAGCGGAGACGCGGTTAGAAGGAAGAGAGAGAGGCAGGCAGCCGGGGGGCAGCGCTCACCCCGAAGGACCAGGCCCTGCGCACGCTCGGCCCCACGCCTTTCCGTGACCTGCTTCTGGGGGCCGGGCTGCGAGATGCGGCTGGAGAGACATATGGCCAAACAAGCTTCTAGTCATGCCTCCTGCTAACGAGCTCCCTCGGGCAAAGCTGGGCACTAGCTCGGAGATGCCAAGCCCGGCTTGCCCCGCGCCAGGTCCTCGTGGGACGCTGGCCCCGGCGGAGGCCCCGCACGCTCACCGATCCCGCCAGACGTGCCGATGCGGATGACGGTGACGTCGGAGCAGCGGGCGTGGTACAGCAGCTTGATGACCTCGTGCAGCATGACGGACGTGGAGGGGATGCCGATGCCGTGCTAGAACCAGGGGGAGACGCCAGCGTCGCGTCAGGGGGCGGCCGCCTCGCGTCCCTGCGCATCTCAGGCTGACAGCCAGAGAGGACGGACTTCCAAACACACTTTTAAAACTATGAACACTTTGGGAGGTGCAAACGTCTGCCCAGGTCCACGCAGGCAGTGCGGCCCACGTGCAGAGCCACCGTCTGCGGCGCCGAGAGGCTCGGTGGGGGACCAGCAGCCGCTCGTCTCCGGGAACTGAACCCGTCTCTGCACCCCTGGGCGCTCTGGACAGCTGGTGCTGGTCGACGGCTCGCCGCGTCCCCAGCCCCCCCAAGGACACAGACGTGCAGGGGACCAGGCTGCACGCGGAGGGCCCGACCCCTTGCAGAGCCCGACCCCGGAGCCCACCTCCAGGGCAGGTACTCACGCTCACAGACAGCACGGGGCCCACTTTGAACATGGCATAGCGGTCGGTCCCCGCGCAGATGTTGGGATACTCGGCACCTGGGTGGTCAAGGCCCAGCTCCTTGGCCATGTACTTGGCGAAGGCCTCCATCCGAGTAGGGCTGCCCCCGACACACACGAACTGCAGCCAGAGAACACAGCCCCGTCAGTCCGGGCGCCGCGCACCATCCTCATAGCGGGGGTCCTCTCTGGGGCCCCCGCCGACGTGTCGCCCGGTCTCACGGGAGACGAAGGTCCCTGGCCCCACCCAGAGCTATGCTGTCTGCGGTGCTTCTGCGAGCCGTTCGGGTGCCGGTGCTCTGGATGCTCGCTCAGTTTGAGAAGCACCGACTGGGTCACGGAACCAGCACCGGTGCAGGAGGCCCGGACAGTATAACCAGCCCCACACAACACGGGAACACCAGACCCTTGCTCTTCCGGGCTCCATGGCTGCACCGGCTCTGCCCATCGGGTGCACAGCTTGGTCGGTGTCCCGGGGGGAGCCGAGGTTTGGAATAACACGATGTGGGTCCTCACCGTGCAACTGGGGCCCCTCTGCAAACGGGCTTCCGAGCATCACCTCCACCCACCGCCTGAGAGCCAGATGGCCCAAGCGTGGAAAGAGCCAGGGCCCCGTGGGAACTGGGGAATCGGGAGCGATCGTGTGGGTGGGCGGCTCTCGGGGACACGAAGCCTTTAATCTGCCAAGTGCCACATCTACAAACTCATTTTTCATTGTGTTGTACACAAGAAGGAAATGTAGGTAAATCAGTTCTAAGCAGTTTGATGTTGAAGGAATTCTTAGTCTCTAAACATGACAAAAGAAATTTCCGTAGCCTAGAACAAATTGTAGGTTAAATTGTAATGTGCGGCTTTTTTCTGCCCCTGGACGCCGCCAAGTAAGCATCGTGAAAGTCTCCCCTCCCACCGCCGTCATGTCTAAGTCAGAGTCTCCCAAAGAGCCCGAGCAGCTGCGGAAGCTCTTCTTTGGAGGTTTGAGCTTCGAAACGACCGATGAGAGTCTGAGGAGCCATTTTGAGCAATGGGGGACGCTTACGGACTGTGTGGTAATGAGAGACCCCGACACCAAGAGCTCCAGAGGCTTTGGGTTCGTCACGTACGTCACGTACGGGAGGAGGTGGACGGGGCCTCGAACGCCCGACCGCACGAGGTGGACGGAAGAGTCGTGGAACCAAAGAGGGCCGTCTCCAGAGAAGATTCTCAGAGACCCGGTGCCCACTTAACTGTGAAAAAGATTTTTGTCGGTGGCATTAAAGAAGACACCGAAGAACGTCATCTAAGAGGTTATTTTGAACAGTGTGGGAAAATTGAAGTGATTGAGCTCATGACTGACCGAGGCAGTGGCAAGAAGAGAGGTTTTGCTTTTGTGACCTTTGACGACCACGACTCTGTAGACAAGGTTGTCATTCAGAAATACCGTCCTGCGAAGGGCCTCAACTGTGAAGTGAGGAAAGCCCTATCGAAGCAAGAGATGGCTGGTGCTTCGTCCAGCCCAAGAGGCCGAAGTGGTTCTGGAAACTTTGGTGGTGGTCGTGGAGGTGGTTTTGGTGGGAAGGACAACTTTGGTCGTGGAGGGAACTTCAGTGGTCGAGGCGCCTTCGGTGGCAGTCGAGGTGGTGGTGGATCCGGTGGCAGTGGGGATGGCCAGAACGGATTTGGTAATGACGGAAGCAACTTTGGAGGTGGCGGGAGCTATAACGATTTTGGCAATGACAACAATCAATCCTCAAATTTTGGACCCATGAAAGGAGGAAATTTTGGAGGCAGAAGCTCTGGCCCCTATGGTGGTGGAGGCCAATACTTCGCCAAACCACGAAACCAAGGTGGCTGTGGCGGTTCCAGCAGCAGCAGCAGCTATGGCAGTGGCAGGAGGTTTTAATTACTGCCAGGAAACAAAGCTCAGCAGGAGAGGAGAGCCAGAGAAGGGACAGGGAAGCCACAGGTTCCAACAGATCTGTGAACTCAGCCACGCACAGTGGTGGCAGGGCCTAGCGGCTACAAAGAAGACGTGTTTTAGACAATACTCATGGGTATGGGCAAAAAACTCGAGGACTGTATTTGTGACTAATTGTATAACAGGTTATTTCAGTTTCTGTTCTGTGGAAAGTGTAAAGCATTCCAACAAAGGGTTTTAATGTAGATTTTTTTTTTTGCACCCATGCTGTCGATTGCTAAATGTAATAGTCTGATCATGACGCTGAATAAATGTGTCTCTTTTAAAATGTGCCGTGTAAAGTCAGTGTACTCTGAAGCCATCTTGGTAAACTACCCCAACAGTGTGAAGTTAGAATTCCCTCAGGGTGATGCCAGGTTCCACTCGAAATTTATTTGCAACCTGCTTGGGCACAGAAGCCATTGTCTCCACAAACCTTGGTGTGGTTGAACTGACAGTTAATGTGTTGTGACCTGGAGTTCACCGTTAAAAGGGTCACCCAAGCAAAGTCCTGGAGTTTATTCGGTTATTATGATTGTTGGCACATCCTATGCAACATATCTAAATTGAATTATGGTATCAGATAAGATTATAGATGGGATTAAAGCTTGTGTATCGTCCATTATCATGTGTAATCAATAAACGATTTAATATTCCCTTGAAAAAATAAAAAATAAATAAATAAATTGTAATGCGCCGAAAGCAAACAACGAAAGAACACCTGGAAAAAACACCGTAACAGCAAAGGAAACCACCAACAAAATGACAAAGCTGCTGAGCGGGGGAATATATTTGCACATGACATATGCAGAAGGAGCTAATATCCAAAATATATACAGAACTTGGGGCCCCCGGGGGGCTCAGCAGTGGAGCCTCTGCCTGCGGCCCAGGGCGTGACCCCGGGGTCCCGGGATCGAGTCCCGCGTTGGGCTCCCTGCGCGGAGCCTGCTTCTCCCTTTGCCTGTGTCTCTGCCTCTCTGTGTCTCTCAAGAATAAATGAGTAAAATCTTTAACAAATGACCTGAATAGACATTTCTCCAAAGACGACGTCCAGATGGACCACAAACACATGAAAAGTTGCTCAGCGTCACCCATCATCAGGGAAACACAAATCAAAACCACACGGATGAGCACCGGGTATTATTCTATATGTTGGCAAATGGAACACCAATAAAAAATAAATTTATAAAAAAAAGAAAACCACACGGAGATCCCACCGACACCTGTCAGAGTGGCTAAAATCAACAACAAAAGACGCGACAGGCGTCGGCGAGGGTGTGGAGGAAGCGAAGCCTCTCGCACTGCTGGTGGGAGCTGGTGGGAGCGCGACCTGCTGCAGCCGACAGCGCGGAGGGTCCTGAAAAAACTAAAACCAGAGCTACCCTCTGGCCTCGTGATTCCACTACTGAGCACTGACCCAAGGAAACGAAAACACCAACGGGGAAGTTATGTGCACGCCCGGCGTAGTGAACCAACAGCCACGCACGCATGCGAATGTTAGCCCGCAGGACCTTGCCACGGCGCGGCTGCAGCCGGAGGGTGTGTGCTGAACGAGGGAAGTCGGAAAAGATAAATACCATAGGATTTTGCTCACATGTGGAATTTAAGAAACGAAACTAAGAAAAAAGAGACAAACAAAAAACCAGAATCTCAAATACAAAGAACAGACGCGGTTGCAGGGGCGCCTGGGGGGCTCCGTGGGTGGAGCCTCTGCCCGTGATCCCGGGTCCTGGGGTCGAGGCCCACTGGGGTCCCTGCCACCGGGGCGTCTGCTTGTCCCTCCTGTCCCCCTCCTTGAGCCTGCTCCCGCTCTCTCTCCCGCTGTCTCTCTCTGTGTCTCTCCCTCTGTCTCTCTCTCCCTCTGTCTCTCTCCCGCTCTCTGTCTCTCTCTGTCTGTGTCTCTCTCTCCCTGAACCCATGTCAGCTGGGAAATCACCGCCTGCTGAGCATGCAGCTGGGACCCCCTGATGAAAGAGGGCCCGACGGGGTGGCCGGGGAGCAGCGGCAACTTCTGGGTCACTCCTGGGTCACTCGTTGCTTCGATGTTGAATCTAAAGGCTGGTGCATCTGACCCCCGGCACAGCCGCTTCCGGAGTCCCCGGGCGCACCAGTACCGAGGCCTCAGGGCCTGCAGCCGCTCAGCTGGGTCAGGAGGCAGCGCTCCCGTCCTCTTTTCCTTTTCTCAGGGGAGCGCTAGGAAGTCTCCTGCACTCGCTTCCCAGCGGGGCTGGGTGTACAGAGGGTTAGGGCCCAAGAGGGCCAGACTTACCAGTTCTCTCTCACTCACTAGTTTACATACCTTAAAATCAACAATTTGCCAAAAATCTGGTGAAGATATTACTTTCTTTTCGAATATTTATTTATTATTTATTTATTTATTTATTTATTTATTTCTGAGAGACCCAGAGAGAGAGAGAGAGAGAGAGGCAGAGACACAGGCAGAGGGAGGAGCAGGCTCCATGCAGGAAGCCCGAGGTGGGACTCGATCCCGGGACCCTGGGGTCACGCCCTGGGCCTAAGGCAGACGCTCAACCCCTGACCCTCCAAGTGTCCCTATAACTTTTTTTTTTTATAAAAAGATCTTATTTTTAAGTCATCTCCACACCCAACCCGGCACTTGCACTCACGACCCTGCGGCCGAGTCATGTGCCCTCCCGACTGAGCAGCCAGGCGCCCCCTCGGGGGAGACGCAAGTGAGGGCGGCCTCAGCAGACGCCACCCCCCAGCCCTGCCTTGTACCTTCACGTCCCCGAACATGGCGGGGAGGTCGTGCGTGCTGGTGCTGAGGCTCAGGTGGTACAGGACGTCCTCCGGCATCGTCGCTATGTTTGGGTTGGCGGGTTGTACGAAGTGGCCACTGTCACGAGAGGAAGGCGAAAGGTTTGCAGAGCACCAGAGCCCGGTGGCTGCCGTAGTGGAGGTGCCCGGGGTCCCCAAGACGCGTGTGGCCCGTACCGGGGTGACAGGGCCCCGCAGCCCCGCACATGCTCCCCCTCCCAGGCACAGGAACGCGGAGCCCCCGACGCGACCTCGCCCGACGACCAGTGCAGCCGGCTGCCCCCCGCGCGGGCGTGCGCCTCAGGACCTCGGCTGCACCTGGAGAACACGACACTCGCGTGGGGAACATGGGGGAGCGGAGACGAGGCGCTGCCCCGGCCCTCCCTCCCAGGGGTCACCTTCCCAGCCTGCACAGCTCGGCGCCACTTCTGTTGTTTCGCTGCGCGTCCAGGGAGGGGTGACACGGGCTTCCCTTTGGCTTCCTCCGCAGAGCTTCCCACCTTCCGCATCGGAGTGGGGGGCTCACGTTATTGTTGCGGAGGACGGCGCGCTGCTGGCCCCAACAGTGGCCTGCTGTTTGCTTTTTGTTTTCATACGGGGCCGGAGAGGGAATATATTTGGTTTTGCGGGCCGCAGGGGGCCCGTCACCACGCAACCCAGCTGTTCTCACGTGAAAGGGGCCACAGACCACACGCAGGCCCGCGTGTTTGGGTTCCACGCCCACGAGCAGGGTGCGGGTCTGCGTGGTGTTCGGCCTGGCACCCTTAGCACACCGACTCCGAGCCTGCCGGGCCCCAGGGCCGCAAGGACAGACGCGGACCCCGGGGCAGGGCCTTGGGACCTCCCCGCCTTCCTCCGGAGTTGGACTCTGGGCCCGGAACCCCTGACCCGGTTCCCGTCAATCTAACCCTAAGAAAGACACAATGCGAGAGAAGCAGCCTCGCGGCCTGGGGCGTGGCAGTGGCACAGGGGACTTGGCAGCCTGGTCAGGCCAGCCACAGGGCCCCCCGCCCGGCCCACGGAGCGGCTCGCAGGACGCCCCGGAGAGAGGCTTCCTGTGATGGGCCCCGGGCACCCGACGGCGGGGAGTGTGCAGGACCCGTGCCCAGTGTTTCAAAATTTAACCAAAAACACACATTGCCCAGGCGCTCAGGAGAGCCGTGATGCCAATCCCGTTTTCTTTCTTTTCTTTCTTTTTTTTTTTTTTATTGTATTTTCGCTTCCAGGGAGCTGCTGGGGGGGACAACACGGGTGGTTTGCCCGTGGAGTACGAGCAGGTCAGGCTTGAGTTCCGCCCGCGCTGGCGCCTGCCCTGCCCGGTCACTCCGAGGCACCCGCGGCCCACGGTGCTCCAAGTCGGAGGGATGCGGCTCTCGGCCGAGGCAGGTCCCACAGCGGGGACTCCTGAGGGCAGCGTGGACGGGGCGGCAGGCCAGCCCGGGGAACTGGGGTCCTGCGGCCTCGCTCACCCGCCCACGCCGCCGCCCCTGGCCCGGGAGGAGCGCGGTGACATCACAGCCCGACAGCGCCTCCGGCCCCTCTGCTGTCCAGGTGACGCCCAGGCGGGGCTGACCGCAGAGGCAGGACTGACGAAACAGGACGTGATTAGGAAACTTCGCCACATATTTCAACATGGAAAACGCTTTTTTTTTTCTGTCTCTCTCTGATTCCAGGAAGAGAAGGAGAAGGAAATGGGGTGCGACTGCGAGGAGTGGCAACGGTTTTAAAATGCATCAGCTGGGCAGGAGCCACAGTGAACCGGAACGCGTTCACACGGACTTTTTAAAAGATTTCAAAATACCAAGTCAAAGATGTTGCTTGGGAGCTAGTTCCCTACTCTGCACGCACCTTGCAGTTACTTTATCTGCTTTTTTTTGGCTGCTTCACTCATGGGACAAATATTCCTGGAGCACCTACTTCGTGAAGGAAACGCAAAACACATGGCAGGTGGCTGGTTCCAGAAGCTTCCCGGGGCGGGGTGTGGGCTGGAGACGGGCGCTCAGCGGCTGAAGAGCGGGCGGACGGAGAGCCGGGCGCCAGGTGCGCAGCCCCGCGCGGGGCTCGGGCATTACAGACGTCAGGACCCGGCAGGCACCCGACTTGGTGCCAGAAATGCCGGGACTCGTAGCCCGTGGATAGTAGTGGTTCCTCTAAAGCCCACGATCGCCCCCGAAGCTGGGCGCTAGCCGTGTTCCCACCTAGAGGCTCCCTTTAAAGATGTGCATCTTTCCTTCTTTTTAAGATTTTATCTATGTATTTTAGAGAAAGAGAGAATCCCAGCAGGCTCCCCACTGAGCTCTGAGTCTCATGAGGGGCTCGATCCCAGGACTCTGAGATCATGACCTGAGCGGAAGCCAAGAAAGAGTCCGACGCCCAAGCACCTGCGCCGCCGCACAGGTGGCCCCAAATTAGTAACTCTGAGAGGAAAAGAAGGAGGGGCCCGTGCGTGGTGAGCTGGTTGGACGGGAGAGCAAGTTGCACTGGGCTCCACGCTCCATGGCGGGGGGGGGGGTCTGCGGGGATGCCCTCTCCCTCCCCCCGCACCTCCCCTGCTCTTTCTCAAAGTAAGTAAATGAATAAACAATTTTTTCAGAATTAATGTCTTTCAGAAGAGGCCGTGCTTCCGAGCTGGCCTTGGAGCTCCCGCCCCGGCAGCCACCTCTCCGCGGCCGACGGGAAGCCAGGGAGCGAGGGCTCTCGGGAAAACGGAATCACAATATGCCCCCAAATCCACCCAGCCTGCCGTCCGCTTGGAGCCTCACCTGTGATTGCCACGTGTCTTTGTCTGGGACCCCGAGGAAGCCATTCTCTTACCTAGGGGAAAACAGCACATGATTATTTCAGAATAAACTCAGGCGCATAAAAAATCTCAAGAGTTTATTTGCCAAAAATGTACTGGAACGAGGCCTGACATGGGACTCGATCTCGGGACACGCCCCCCCCCCCATCGTGGCCTGAGCCCAAGCAGACGCTCAACCACTGAGCCCCTCAGGTGTCCCCAGGAAAGACTTGAGAGGAGCAGGTGCAGAGGAGCCGGGCAGTGGTCGGCGGGCGGGCGGGCGGGCAGGGGCTCTGCACCCGGCTGTCCTCAGCGTTCAGCCTCCCGCCCCGGCCCGAGCCGCCGTCTAACGCCTCCTTGTGCAATTACTTGAGCCCAGAGGAGGCCGAGCAGACGCCGGGCTCCCGGGCGGTCACAGGGTCCCGCCAGCCGCAGAGGCTCGGTGGGCGCAGCACATGGGCACAGGTGTGTGACCCACGGGCCGTGGACGCGGGGGCTGAGCACAGACACGCCGGGGCGGGTCACCCCCTGCTCTCCCAGCCTGGCCCCCACCGCCTGGAAGGGCGGGTCTCCAGGGCCGCCCAGGGCAGGGGGACCAGCGGGGGCCACATCCCTGCGGCCCAAGGAGAACTCGCAGCCACGGCCACGGCCCTGCCAGGCCAGGGTGGATCACAGCCTGAGGACCCGGTGACTACAGCCCACGACCTGCCGCAGGGGCAGGAAAGCAGAGCCGGGGGCGGGGGGGGGAGGGTGGCCCAGGCCCGGGTTGTCAACCGGACGGTGGGGCTCCCCGCCAGCGTGCCAGCCGGCGGGCCCAAACCCGGAGCCCTCGATGGAGCCCCTGACGGAGCCCCCAGGGCGCTGCTGGGAAAGGGACAGATCCCAGGACCCCTGACCATTTCAGCAGACCCCGAAGGCGGAGGCCAGGAGCCACCACACCCCCAAGGCCCGTTTACTCCGACGGGGACCTGCCTGCGGTGTTGCCCCGGCCGCTGGGTCCTGAGTTAGAATTCTGTTTCACTCCTGGATAAACCCGCCTGTCACTGGCAAAGTACCCGGCAGTGTCTAATTTTAAGGGTTACCACTGGGGGGATGAGAGGTGGGCAGCGGCCGCTGGGGCGGGTGAGCAGACAGACCCCCCCCCGGGCTGCGGGGTCATCCTCTGCTTTCTCACGGACGCTGGGGCTTGATGGCAAGGGTTCCCCTGGATTCTGAGCCCCGTGCTTGTGTTCAAGCTCTTAGGCTCTATTCCTAGTTTACCAAACGCCTTAGCTTTTTTATTTTTTTCCTTTAGCATCTCAGAGTATTCGTGTGGGCTTGGAGCCGCGCGGGCCCCCGGGCTGGGTTCTGCGTGCGACCGGGCTGCTCTTCCAGAAGCTGTGTGGCCTTTGCTCTGATTCCTCCTGGAACCAGGCTGTTGCTGAAAAATCTCAAAGCAATGGGATCCCAGTCGTCGACGTGCTTTGAGGCCCCCGTCCCCCTGCTCCTGGGACTCTGGCCGGGTTTACGTCTAAAAACCATGGTTGCTCCGCATGTGTGTTTACAGACATGGGCTGGGCCAGGGGCCGTTATGGGGCCAAACTTAATGTTCTCAGAACTGAGTTAGGTCACTATGGTCCTAAAACTGACAGAACTAAGTGGAATTCCTTCTACAATTGGTATTTTGAGGCTTCCAAGCGCTACCAGGAATCTAACATTGCCTCTCTCCAAAATACAGTTTGTAAACTAAACGAGGCATCAAACAATTAAAAAGGAAAAGTGAGTGGCTCCTGGGGGCTCAGCGGTGGAGCATCTGCCTCGGCTCAGGTCATGACCCCAGGGTCCTGGACCCCAGGGTCCGGGGGGGGGGGTCTGCTTCCCCCTCTCCCCGCTTATCCTCATGCTCTCTCTCTCTCTGCGTTTTCTCAAATAAATAAATAAAGCTAAAGAAGATTCTAGTCTTCCTTTTCACTCTGTGCTTATTATTGGGCTGACCTGGGATCTTTCCCTTTCTGTTAAAGGGAACAGTATGAAATGGGAAACTGTCTCCCACCCCAGGTTTAGTTACCCCGGCCAACCAGCTCGCCCGCACCCCGGCTGAGTCTCCTACAGGAAGGACCCCTGAAATTGTCATTCTCTCCAAAGGGGAAAATAATCCATGACTTTGACAGCAGTGACCGACGTACCCAACCAGGGGAATTACATGACACTTTGACGTCTTTTATTGGCTGCCTCCGACGGGACCCTAGCTGAGCCTGGGGACACCGATCATTTATTCCAATCGGATCAGCGATCGCCCTCTTTCTGGGGCAAAAATCCCAACCGATCAGTAAATCCCACGGTGCACCTGCCAACAATATTCAAATAGATCCCTCAAAATCCCTGCCTAGAATTAATCAATGCCCTATACATACAGACGCCCTGAGGGCGTCCAGCAGCTGAGAGAGCAGGCTCGGGCCTCCCCTGCCCTGGAGCCTGTAGTAGCCCGACCTCACCTGTGAGGAAGCCAACGGCCGGGGCCGGGCTGTGCCAGGGATCTCCGAGCAGGTGCAGAAGGAACACCGACCCCCCAATGCCTGCGTGCTGCCGACTCCCTTCCCACCGACCACACCGCACGTATGTCCCTGTAACTGACCTCTGGGTGTGTTTCTAGTACTCCAGGTGACGAGGACAGCCAGGATCTCGCCTCCCTCACCTGGGAAGAGCAGCAGTACACTGGGCAGTCCTGCCCAGGGTGACACAGCGTCCTTCTCACCACGGCAGACCTCAGAGGCTGACAAAGGCCGTCCCTGCAGGCTCCATGTGGCTGCTCCACCCCCCACCCCCACCCCCACCCCGGTCAAATCTTTTGGCCTTAAAGGGACATAAAGCCTCCAAAGAAATGTCGCAGTTTGCACAAAGTCACTATTTGTGGCACCTGATCTCCAGATGAAGGCTCGACGTGGATGCAGTGGACTTCAAGGCATCCTGGATTTCCCAAAGCCTAAGAGCAAGTGCCAGTTAGGAGGCTTTCCTGCCTGCCTGGCTACTGGGGACACTGGATTCCACACTGGTCTCTCAGGGCTTGGTCTGCATAATCTTTACAAGAGAAAGACAAACCTGACCCTCTTATTTGGAAAGAGGCAGATGACATGCCTTTGAGTCATTAAAGTCTAGGAAAAGCCCCTACCCTCGGACATCCTAATTATCAATCTCCCTTTTCCCTCTTTGTGCGTGAGACTGAGGGGATGCCCTTGGAGCCCTCACCCCAAAACACGGGGACCTCCATTGCCCCATGGAGGTGTCCCCCGCCCCAGAGCACGCCTGCCACCGCAGACACCGTCACCGAGCCTGTGCCCCGTGCAGAAGCCCTCCTAGCTCTCCTGGAGCTCAACCTTGCGACAGCCTCCGGGTGACTGCTCTGTTTACAATAAGTCTTTCTGGTCCTAAAAGCCTGCCCCAGAAAAGTGGAATCGATATTAGAAATCTGATATCTGTTGGTTTGATAAAAGGGAATTTGGGTTTATTTATTTATTTATTTATTTATTTATTTATTTATTTATTTATTTATTGAGAATTTGGGTTTAGACCAAATAACAAGCTGGCCCTACCAGAAAATTTCAAATCCCCAGTATGTGCATTAAACCGCGGGTCCACTATAGACATGATGGTATTCATGGACCAATATGGGTGGGGACTCCGCTTGTGCCCCTTGCCCAAAGTACAATCCCTGGAAACATGCCCATGGTGCCCAATGGACCATGTGAAGTTTGGCCAGTGGGTTCCATGCAGATCCCTCCTTGTCATGGATACAGATTTGTTTTGGGTCACATTTTTTTTTTAATTTTTTTATTTATTTATGATAGTTACACACAGAGAGCGAGAGAGAGAGAGGCAGAGACATAGGCAGAGGGAGAAGCAGGCTCTATGCACCGGGAGCCCGATGTGGGACTCGATCCCGGGTCTCCAGGATCGCGCCCTGGGCCAAAGGCAGGCGCCAAACCACTGCGCCACCCAGGGATCCCTGGGTCACGGTTTTCATATTGGAACGAAGCCTTGCCGTGTAGACAGGCCAACATCTCCTCTGTGACTACGATCCTATTAGAAAAGCTTATCCCTCCCTGGGGGTCCCCTGTTGAACTACACTGTGACCCGGGTGCTTTGACAAGTCTGTGCTGTTCGGCTAGTTTTAGGGCACTTCCGTCACGCACACCGTCCTCCATCCTCCTGGTTGGTTAAACACACTAACGGCACCGCAAAGACTCAACCGGCAAATTTGTGGAGACCCTCCAAACACGTTCATCAAGGGCATTGCCATCAGTCCTGAATCTCGGATCTGCGCCCTTGGGAACTCCTGGACTCTCCCTTTGGGGCCGTCCCGGGATGCCCAACGCTCGTGGCCAACCAGAGACCCAAGAGGCTGAGACAGACGGGAGCGTCCGTGGACCTGGCCTTGCACATGGACACCGCTCCACGCTCCAGGCTGAGGAAGAGACGCTTTCCTCATCAACCCCCTTCTCCCCTCACAACACAGGCCTCGCCTCTGCTCCCTGGGCTCGCCCTCGGGTTGGCAACAGCTCCTTCATCCAGGGCTGTCAACCTCTTTCATCCCCGAATAAACCCACTTGCTGCTGGTAAAGTGACGGGCGTTCTACTCGCACGGTCGACGGACCCCTCCAGCGGACCCCTGAGCTACACGGGGTTACGAGAGCTGACGCCCTGCGCCGTGGAAGATCCGCCTGGTGCTTTTGACTTTTGATTCCTCAAAAACTTCACTACGACTCATAGCTGGTTGTTGACCAAGAGCTTTCCGGAAAGCGGACATGGCTGATGAGCACGTATTTTGCAAGTTATTAGATGTATCACATCTATCCGTACTCTTAGGATAGTTAGAGAAGAGACAATGTTGTTTAAAGCGTCATAAATAAGAGGAAATACCTGTACAGCACTTGGTGTTTATCAGAAGGAATCCACCTGCCCGAGGCTCCGCCCAGCTCAAGTCCCCGCAGGAGGCCCGGCTGGGGGAGCTCCTAACCGACCCCGGTTCCCCCCCCCCAGACCTGGGCCTGGAGCCGTCTCTTGTCATGCTAAGGAGGTGCTACTTGGCAAATGCGGGAGGACGGGGCCTGGTTGCCAGGGAAACTGATCACGTGTTAAGGGTTAGCACGTCTGGCCCCTCGCCCACCCCAGGAGGGGGAAGGGGCTGCAGGTTGAATCCAGCACCAAGGACGGACGGATTTCCCATCATGTTCTTATACCAAAACCCTCGTAAGATCCCAAAAGGATGGGGTCTGGAGAGCTTGCAGGTTGGTGAGCAAGGGATGTGGGGACGGTGGGCCCTGGGGGACCTGGAGCCCGCGCCCCCGCCCCAGACCCCGCCCGGGCAGCCCTCCCGTCTGTCTCTCATCACAAACCCGGGGTCTAGGGAGGGAACCGTCCCGAGCTCTGTGAGCCGCTCCAGCAACTTCGTGGATGCCAGGGACGGGCCGTGGGAGCCTAGGACGGGCTGGTGACAGCCTGGCTGTGGGGCCGGCATGGGGGGCAGTGCAGGGGGGCCGGCCCTCAGCCCGCGGGCCTGACTGTGTCCCCGGGTAGACGGGGTCCCCAGTGAGTTGCAGTCGGACGTCAGAGAGTCAGTGCAAAGACACCACACACGTGTCAGGATTTAACCAGAGATCGGGATCCTGGGTCCTGATTCCGCGCTGCCAGCACAGCGAGCAAATCCTCCCTGACTGCCCGGCTTCCGCACGCGTCTGGCTTCCAGGAAACACAAGCCTCAGTGGCGCCCCGGCGGCTGCCCGCCGGGGTCCAGGCCTCCTGCCCCCCTCGGCCTGTCACTTCTCCCCCCGCCACGGGAGATCAGAGGGGAGGGGGGCGGCTCACTGAGGCGTCCCCAGTCCCCAGGGGCAGGCAGCGCCCCGGCCCCCCGGCCCCCAACCTGGGCCCTCCGGATACTAACGTCTCCTCTGCGGGCGGGGGGGCGGCGGCGGCAAGACCTCGAAAGAGGAAGAGTTGGATGTGCCGTCCCCAGAGGCCACGGACCGACCCCAAACAGGAACCCAAGCCGCAGGAGAGCATCCTGTCTGGCCTCGAGGGAAAGTGCTGCTCCGTCGCCCGCTTGTCCCCCTGCCTCCCACCGGAGAAGCCAACGCTGCCCAGTGCCGGCGCCCCTGTGGCCCTCCGGGGCCCTGAGCCTCCCCAGGACCGTCCCCTCACCGGCCCCCACCCTCAGCGCCCGGGAAGCCTGGACTTCGGCGCCGCGGGGTTGGAAAGGTGCAGCCGAGGCTGCGGGCGGCCTCCTGCGCGGGTTTGCACCGCCACTGAGCTGCAGGCCCCACGCCCAACGCTGCGGCCCTGTCGTCCGCCTGCCCATGGGGAGGTCGAGGCCAGGAGGCGGTGAGTGGAGCGGCCCACGTGGCAGGAGGTCCCTCCCCGGCTCCTGGCGCAGAGGCAGAACCCAGGAGCCCACCATCCTCCCCGGCAGCAGCCCACTCACCTGGACTCCTCCAGCGGCCACAGGTGAACAGGCAGGGACGCGGAGCGGTTCACTCTCGGAAAAGAAGCCCCCGGTGCTGAGAAGGAAAGAGGTAATGACTATTCAGGGACCCGGTGCTACGTTTGCATTTCAAAAGAATTTTCCCAGTTGGCAAAAAATGAACAAAGCTGTGTCCGATTTTATCCGAACTTCAAAGGAATCAGGAAACAGGGTTAGCCAGTGGCCAGTCCTGTTCACACAGAGCCCAGTGTGGCCCGCAGGGTTTAGCGTAGAAAAGGAGGAGGAGTCCCCGCAGGCAGAGTCCACTGCCGCCCAGCAACCACCAGGGTCCCCAGGGTCCCCAGGGTCCCCTTACCTCCGGCTCACAACAAAAAAACAGACAGAAAGGGAGACAGCACATGAGAGACCCCTACCTCTGGGGAACGAACCAGGGGAGGTGGAAGGGGAGGGGGGCGGGGGGTGGGGTGACTGGGTGATGGGCATTGAGGGGGCACTTGATGGGATGAGCGCTGGGTGTTATGCTGTATGTTGGCAAATTGAACTCCAATAAAAAAAATAATAATAATTAAAAAAAACAGACAGAAGGCCTCAGAGCCCCTGCCTCGGCCCAGGAGGGAGCACCTGCGGGAGTGCAGGCCCACCGTGAGGAAGGGGAGACGGGGATTCACACCCCTCTGTGCAATCTAACCGAGAGGTCGCTGGGAGAATTTAGGGACGATTTCTGACCACTGCTTTTTCAGGGGCCTTGCTGGTTTACAGTGGCCGCACACCAGGGACCTCCCCCTTCCACAGGTCATGCAAAGAACCAAAGAACGTGCTTCCTGACAACACTTGTTGGCATAACACGGGATTTCCAGTCTGGGCATCTCAGAGCGCACCCTGGCGCATCCCACTTCCTGTTTCCGAGAAAGGCCAACTTGCAAAACACGCCCCTGATTTAGCGGCTGCTGCCCTGCCCTTCCATGAAAGGATGAAAGGCTCGGGCTGGTCCCCACCCCCCACCCCACCCCCAGGCTCGGAGCCGCACTGGGGAGGCTGCTAGGGCAGAGCAGGGTGAATGGAGGAATGGGGCCTCCCAGAGGGTGATGCAGGGAACGACAGGGATTGGAGTTCCTGAAATCCCTGGTCTGCCTCCAGGTAGGGCCTCCTAAAGGAATTCAGTTGTTAGGAATTATCTCCCAGGGAGTAACTCCAATCTCTTCATGAAAAGGAACCAAATGGACCTTGTCACGATCCTATCTCCAGTCTATTTTCCTAAGGAATCGTTTATTTTTCCAAAGTCCTGTGTCTCCCTAAGCACTCCCCCAGAGGTCGTTTGTTCTCTCAGAAGTGTCCCTCTGCCCCCCATGCCCTATTAAAATGGTCAGTAAGCCCCCAAACTGGAACTGCCTCCCGGACCCACACGTTTCTGTTCACTCCGTCTGTACAGACATACGTAAAAATCCATCTTCTCTCTTGCTATCCTGTCTTTTGTCATTTTAATTTGCAGACCCCCAAACACCACACCTAAGAGGATAGAAGTTTTTCCTCCCCAAACAGGATTTGGGCACGGTTGGGATTGGAGGGAGATAGAGCATGAGCAGAGGTGTGCTAAGAACAGAAAAGTGAGGTATGTTCTGGATCCAGGAGACAAAATCCTAAAGACTGACAGGAAGTGGTATTAGGATGCGGCTGGCAGGGATGCTTGTGCTGTGCGGGTCCTGTCCCTGCAGAAGGAAGCACCACTTCCAAAGTGTCTCTAAGTCCCTAGATCCCTCCCTAGGGGTGGGAGTTGGGGGTGGTCAGCCTTCCAGAAAAATCCAGGCCTGGTTTTGGCTCTCAGGATCCCTGGGGAGGCGGCCTCTGCTCTGAGCACCCCTCTCACCTGTCGCCACATCCAACTTGTAAGAATAGAAACCCCGTGGTTGATTTTGGTTTTCTTGGGTTGTTCTCAGTATTAGCCCACTAAGCTTAAAATAAGATATGTGGGCTACTCGGTGTGAATAGCCTGGTACGTAAACGTTTATGACTTTTGAATGAACACAGTTCAAAAGCAAATGTGCATGAGTGTCTGTGTGGTGATTCAGGGACAGAGAGAGGGCAGTGATCAGCGTTTATCTTTAGGGATTAGGAAAAGCTGCCAAGTTTCATTTCCTGTATTAGATTTATGGTTTTCTTTTTTTAAAAAAATAAGATACTATTTATTTGTTCATGGACGTACACAGAGAGAGGCAGAGGGAGAAGCAGACTCCATGCGGGCCCCGGGATCATGACCTGAGCCAAAGGCTCAACCCCTGACCCACCCAGGTGCCCCCCAAGAATTTATTTATTTCACAGAGAGAGAGCACAAGCAGGGGGAGCGGCAGTGGGAGAGGGAGAAGCAGACGCCCTGCGGAGCCGGGAGCCCAACGCAGGACTCAACCCCAGGACCCTGGGATCCTGAGCTGAGCCAAGGAAGAGGTTTCACCGACTGGGGCACCCAGGCACAGTTTTGTTTTGCTTTTTAACAAGGAGTTTGTATTAATTTTATGATCAGCAAACATAACAAAGTCCTCTTGGACAAAAGCCCATGTAAAAAACTAATTTATTATTATTTTTTTTTAACTAAAACGTTACTGGGCAGCCCCCGTGGCGCAGCGGTTTAGTGCCGCCTGTAGCCTGGGGCGTGATCCTGGAGACCTGGGATCGAGTCTCAAGTCGGGCTCCCTGCGTGGAGCCTGCTTCTCCCTCTGCCTCTCTCTCTCTCTGTGTGTGTGTCTCTATGAATAAATAAATAAAATCTTAAAAAAAAAAAAGTTACTGCGGTGCCCACCAGTGCAGAAAGCCCTGGAGCAAATAATGTAATGTGTGGGACCATGAAGCTTCTGCAGAAAGAACTAGAAATCTGGCCTCTAAAAAGGGGAGGGAACGTGCAAACTGGCAGGCAGTAGGCCTGGCTCCGGGGACATGGGACGCACGCAGGATGCACAGGACACGGCAGGCCTGACAGGCAGGGCAGCGGTGAAAACCTTTCTCACGGTTTAAGACGGAGACGACTTCCCCAAATCACTAACGCTTCAAAAGCCAAGCTCAGAGCCAGTGAAAGGAACCCAAAGTCTCTAACACGGAAGACAGCAGCAAGGGGGAAGGAGCCAGAAGGGCCAGGCAGGGCAGGGTGTGGACAGACAAAGGGACAAGGAAGGGAACGGGGGGGGGGGGGGGGGGGGGGGGAGGGGGGACGGGTCACAGCAGCCCTAAAACTGCCTCAGTGGCCTTGCAAGTAGCCCTGCTCTCGGGTTTTTGCGTCTCTAGGTCGCTCCCCACTGAGTGGAGCAGCCTGGGGCGGGGCTGACCTTTGGCACAGAGGCCAGTTCCAGGGTGGCCAGGAAGGCTGCCGCCAGCGACCTTGAGTCACCTGGCCAGGCAGGTCACCTGCCCAGCCCCCACTTGGAGAAGGGAGCCGGATCTGCGGCAGCCCTGAGGCTGCGCCTGGACACTTGACCGCAGACACGCATGATGCCCGGGACGCGACACCCGCCACCAATCCCAGCTGTGCTGGTTCATCGTGGACTGTGGGCTCTCTGCAGCTGCGGGACAGACGGGTGTCAGGACTCCCGCCGTAACCCTTACTCAGAGGGGTCCAATGCAAGCTTCTGTCCACTGGAGCTCTCAAGGTTTGGTAATGTTAAAAAAAAAAAAAAATGAAGAAGAAGAAGAAAAAGAAAGGACCGGTCCCAAAATGGATTCACTTGCCTGTGGGACAGCAAATGGAGACTTAGTATCTGTTAAATCAAAACCAAATGGGGAGATTATCCTTAAAAAACCCAGCAGAAGACAACATTAGTCATAGGAAGTTTTGTTTTGCATGACTGGACCCAGGCCACTTTCGTGCTCCTGCCTCAGGAAATCGAGAGTGAAACTTCCCCATTTCCCCAGATGGGTATGGCGAAACCACCAGAAATTCCCTACCATTTAAAAAAATCCTAGGAACGCCTGGGGCGGTCAGCCTGGTGAGCTCAGCCACGGAGCATCTGTGACGGCTCAGGGTGGGGCGAGTCCCGCGTGGGGTCCCCGCAGGGAGCCTGCTTCTCCCCCTGTCTGGGTCTCTGCCTCTGTGTCTCTCAGGAATAAATAAGTAAAAGTCTTTTAAAAAAAATCCCAAAAATAAAAATAAGAGAATTCGAACGTGGGCGCCAAGCCCTGTCCAGACCAGCCGGCTGCTTCATGCCAGCCTCGGCTCGGGGCCTTTCCCACCCGCTGCTCCTCCTCACCACCCTGGGGAGTCGGGGCTTCGGTTCTGTTACTTCGGAACTTTTGACAGTTCTGACCCATTAGCCTCTGCGGAATCTGACCTTTGGCCAGTCCACCTGCCATCACCTGGTCGGCGGGGACGCCCCGGCCCTTCCCCAGGAACAGGAGCTTGCGGGAACAATCCTGTCCTGCCTTAACGACACGATGACTTCCGTCCCCCCCGACAGTGGCCCTCCCCACTCCTCCTCCCCCTCCCTCCCCTCCCCCCCCCCCCCCCGCAGCCCTTCTGCCTGCACCAGCCTCTCCCGGGCTCAGCTCCCGCAGCTGATGCGATGCGGCCGCGTGCCTGGGGGACCGAGTAAAGCCAACGGACCCTCCAACCCACTCAGTGCAACTTTGTTCTTTAAGGGTAAAAATCGGTCACACAAAGTAACTTTTCACTTACCCCCCAAAGAAAAGGGGGGTTCTATGCGCTCTGCGGCCCGGGCTGCGGGTCCCCACTGCGCGCACCCCCAGCCGAGGCGGGCACATCCGCGGCCTTCGGGGTGCCCGGGGCGCGGGTCGGGGAGAGGCGGCGGCGGCGCGTCCAGGAACAGCTTCCCCCTGCCCGCACCCCCCCTGCGCCCTCCGCGCGCTCCCCCCACCCCCTCACCCTCCGCCCGCACCGTCCACCGCGCCCCCCTACGCGCTCCCCCACCCCCTCACCCTCCGCCCGCACCCCCCTGCGCCCTCCGCGCGCTCCCTCCCACCCGCGCTCCCCCCACCCGGATCCCCCCACCCGATTCACCCTCCGCTCGCACCCCCCCGCCCCCTCTGCGCGCTCCCCCCACCCCGCTCCCCCCCGCCCGCATCCTCCCCGCAGCCCTCTGCGCCTACTCCGCTACCCGCACCGGCTCTCCCCAACACCGCACCCCCCCTGCGCCCTCTGCGCGCTCTCCCCGCGCACCCTCCAGGCACGGCCTCTCAGCACCCCCAGAACCTCAATCGCCCCCACCCCGCTCCCCCTCCGTCCCCCACCCCGCTCCCCCCCCGCCCCCCGCAGCCCTCTGCGCCTACCCCGCTACCCGCACCCTGCTCCCCGCGCGCCCTCGCCGTGACCGCCTCCCCCCGCCGCTGCTCTCGGGGCGCCCTCCCCGCCCGCCCTCGCCGTACACCCCCTCCTCGCCCCTGCCCCCCACCCCTCCCCGCCCCTGCTCGCGCTCCCCGCGCGTCCGTTCGCGGTGCCCCCGCTCCTCTCCGCGGCTGCCGCTCCCCGAGCATCCTTCCCAGCCGGCGCCGGAGCCACCTCCCTCCCCAGCAGGTGACACCAAAGCTGCTGCGCGACCGCGGAGCCCGGGCCCGGCGTGGAGCACTCACCGCGCAGGGACCGGCGGAGTCAGCTCGGACGCGGTCTGCGCGGAGCCGTCACCGCCCGGCCGGGCGCCCCCCCCCCCGCCGCCGGTTCCCGGCAGGCCGCCCGGACCCCGCCCAGGTCCCTTCCTCCGGGCGGGGGCCGCGCTGACTCACGCGGAGCCGCGGTTACTCATTAAGCCGCTGCAGCGCGGGGAAGCCTCGGCCCGGACAGCGAACGGGGTCACCCCCCGCCCCGCTGCCCCGGGGAGCCTCAGGGCGACCCCCCGCACCGCCGCCGTCCGCGCCCCCAGGAGGGCTTGGGGCCCCGGGGAGCCGACGTGCGTGGGAGGGAAAGACGAGCTGGGGGCGGCCCCCCACCCCCTGCATCCCCCCACCCCCTGCATCCCCCACCCCACCCCCACCCCCTGCATCCCCCCACCCCACCCCGCATCCCCCCACCCCCTGCATCCCCCCAACCCCCCGCACCCCCACCCCCTATCCCCCATCCATCCTCCCTACCCCCCCATCTCCCCATCCCTCCATCCTCCCTATCCCTCCACTCCCCACCCCGGCTGCGGCTTGGACCCCCGCAGCCCGGGTGGGGAGGAAATCTCTCTATTTTCGGGGCGTAGGCAGGACGACCGCGGGGGCGGGGGTCCGGGTCTGTCTGCAGTAGCCCCGCCCCGGGCGGCGGAACCTCCGAAGAGATAAGGGCGCAACCAGCCCTGGCCGGGATGGGCCGTATCAGGAGGGGCCGGCCGCCTCGCTGCGGTCCCTCCATCCTGTGGGTTGATTTTTCTGGGCCCCTCGGGGTACTTGGAGCCCGCTAGTGACGGGGGCAGCGGGACGCGCCGGCCGGGAGGCGACTGATACATTCAATGGGCCGCCTGCCCAGCCAACACACGGGCTGCCCCGCGCTGCCCCGCGCTGCCCCACGCTGCCCGGCAGGTGCCCCGACAGGTGACAGGTGCCCCGGACAGGTGACAGGTGCTGCGCTGCCCAGCAGGTGCCCCGGACAGTGACAGGCATCCAGCCCCGGGGGGGGGGGGGGGGAGCATCTCCACAGCGGTGCCCAGGGTGGCCCGAGGCCCGAGGCCCGAGGCCCCGTGAAGGACTTTGTCTTCCATTTCCAAGAGGCTGCCCACGAACTGGGAAATCCAATACCTAAGACATATGTGTCAGTTGACACTTCATAAATGCCACAGACTGGAGAAGAAACCGTGGCCGTTTCTAAACCACCGCTGAAAGCCCCCGCCCACCAGCCAGCCACCTGCCTGGCTCCCCGCAGAGATGCCAAGGACACGAGGGCCCTCCCCACGGCCAGGCCAGCTCCCCCAGGACCTGGGACCTCTGCAGAGATGTGTTCTGAGTGGCCTCCCACACAAGAAGTCACGCCACAGAGGCCACAGAAGAATAATGTCACCCACTCCTGCCTGGCTCACCTGGACCGAGGACTAATTCCACACGATTCCTCCCAAGAAGAGCTGACAGTTACTGTAGAGCTTTCAACTGAGGCTCAGTTGATGCCAGGGCCCACACCCCAAGTCCCAGTGCCAGCAGCCCCCCTCTCATCTCAGGGGCTCTCCTGCGTCCTAGAGCATCAGACAGGGGCAGACGCTTCAAAGAGCGAACAGTATTGTGAGTCCCAGCCAGCATCTTGGTTGTGGAGGAGGACGAACGGAGAAGGCGGCACCTCCGGTCTGGCAAGTTGGGGGCAGGTGCCTCTGTGTCGCCCCCAGCAGGACGTGGAGGGGTGGCCCCGGGCGCCACCAGCTCGCTCATGCCCTCCTCTTGGCACTTGACTGTCCGAGCGCTGCTGCCAGGTGCAGTCTCCCCCACAGGGGCCTCCTCAACAGGGAAGCCAGGACCCCTGGGAGTGGCCTGCCTGGGACCCCAAACTCAGCCAGCAAGCGAGCACCGGCCCGGCAGCCCGCTCCTCTGCTGAACGGCTCTGTGTGCTCTCAGTTCTCCCCCAACCTCATGGCTTTACCTCCCATGGCAGTTCTCCCCCATTCCATCCGGGAATCCTAAGAGCCCTTGGCTTCCTGGAAGTTCCTGGAGCCCACCTGAGCTCAGTGTACAGATGGGCATGATGTGCACCAGAAATTTCTGTTGTGCGTGAGCCAGGTCGTCTGTTTATTACGGCAACCCGAATGGCAAAGATGAAGTCGTGAGGAGTGACACAGAAGGACGTCTGTGCCCTTTACTCGGTTTCCCCCAGAGGGAACATTTCACGGACCTAGAGTAGGGATTTGCACCCTTTGCACCTTGGTCATGACACTGGCACACCCGACACTCTGCACATTACCTGTTTTCTAGTACTCATTTTCGTGTTGTGTTTAGTTCTCTCTCTCTCTCTTTTAGATTTTATTTTTTCATTTGAGAAAGAAGCAGACCACAAGCTGGGGAGGGGCAGAGGAGAGAAGCCGACTCTCCAGGGAGCAGGGAGCCCGCCATGGGCTGCACCCCGGGGCCCCGATCCTGCCCTGAGCTGGGGCAGCCGCCTCACTGACCACCAAGGGTTAGGGTAGGTGTTTAGCGCTCCGCTATCCCCGCCCCTAATCCCTAACCTGGCATCTGCTCATTGGTCCTCAACTTCTCAAATGTGTCATTAAAAACAAAAGCCTTAGACACAGAAACCAATAGTACCTCACCTTCCCCGACGGCCTTGTCTAGTCAGCGGGGTTCCCTGGAGGTTCAGCCGCTCTTCTAGCAGGTGCTTCTCTGAGAATGGAAAGGACCTTTCGCTTAGCCCGAGCGGGAAGGCCAGCAGGGGGCCACGCACAGATCCCCAGCCCGCGGGAGGGGCCCCACCTGGACTCGCCACCCCCCCCCCGCCCCCTGACCCCGGGCCTGGCAGGGCAGGCAGGCCCCTCAGCCGGCGAGCCCACGCCGAGCTCCAGTTTATCCCAGGGCGTCCGTCTGCTGTTTCACGAGCCTCCGAGACTCGCCGGCCTCCTCCAGAGCCCCCCTTTTACTTTCGGGGCTCCCCTCTGGCTTTGCCCCCAGCCTGGTTGTCGCCGTCGCGTTGCCCTGCTATTCCTGCGCACACCCCGGCGGTTGTCTTGAGAGGCCGCGGGCCCTGTGAGCGCCCACCCCAGGGAGGACCGCGGCTGTTTCCACGCGGAGGCCCCGAAGGACGCAGCTGCCAACGGTGTCGGGGCCAGTACGGAGCGCCCGCTGGGCACGGCGGGATCACACGGTTAGTCTCCCAGGAAAGCGCCCAGTTGTCTCCTGCGGGGGGGGAACACTTTCCATCCTGGCGAGCGACGGATGTGAAATCCAGTCTCTCCACAACCTCGCCGGGATTTGATGTTATCCTTATTTTTTTTATTTTAGTCATTCTGAGAATTGTGCACTGATCCCCGGTGGCGGTTTTAATTTGCACTTTCCTGGTGCCTGATGGTGTCAGCGCCTTTGATGTGCTTGTGACACTTGGAAACCCTCTTTGGGGTCGTGCTGGCTTGTGTCTTTTCCTAATTTCGTTAAGTGGATCTTTTGGAGCTTTTGTTGTTGTTTGGTGAAGATTCGAGTACTTTGCCTCTTCTCTTTGCACACTCTTTGCCGGGTAGGTCGTTCGTTGGCAAATGTTGCAGATATTTTCTTCCAGTATCTTATTTTCTTGTTTTTGCTTTTATTTTTGTTTTGTCCTTTCATATGAGCTTTCACAGGGAAAAATTCTTTTTGATTTTGATGAGACCAGTTGATCAATTTTCTCTTTTGTAGATCATGCTTTTGTCATCAAATCTAAAAATTTTTGCACTGCCCTGGATCCTGAGGATTTTCTGTATGTTTTCCTTTAAAGTGTTTTTACTCTATTTTTTTTATTGGAGTTTGATTTGCCAACATATAGTATAACAGCCAGTGCTCGTCCCGTCAAGTGTTCTTTAAAGTTTTGTTGTGTCATGTTCTACATCTAAGTTCATGATCCATTTTTAGGCATGATGGTTTGGTGACGCTGGTTTTTGGCTTTTTGTGCTTTTGTGCATTGAAAAGACCATCCTTCCTCCACTAAATTTATTTTGCTCCTTTGACAGAAGTTAGGTGAGCATATTTGTGTGGGTCCATTTCTGGATGTTCTCTTCTGTCCTCGTCACCTCTGTGTCTCTCCCTGCCTGTCAATACTACAGTAGACTTTAATATTGGGTAGAGTGATTTTTCCTACTTGATTCTTCTTTTTTCAAGATTGTTTCAGCCATTCTAAGACCTCTGCATGTCCATATAAATTTTAGAATAAGCTTGTCTGTGTCTGCAAAAAAATACTGGGATTTTGATGGGGATTGCCTTAAACCTATAGATCAGCTGGGTCCTGGCATAGCCTCTGTCCTTGGAGCGCACTTGGGTCAGGCTCCTCTGAGTCTTCTTTCTAATGGGACCCCACTCCTACCAACTCAGTTTCGCGAAAATCCTGTATTCTCAGTGTTATGGACCGAATGTCTCCTGTCCCCCTAAATTCATATGTCGAAGCCACGCTCCCAGTTTGATGGTGTTAATAAGGTGGGGCCTTTGGGAGGACTTCAGGGTTAGATGAGGTCCCAGGGGTGGGGCCCGCGTTAGGATTCCTGCCCTTGTGGGAGCTAGATCTGGCTTCCTCTCTCTCTCCACCAGTGAGGACACAAGGAGAAAGCAGCTTGCAGCTTCTCACTGGCATTCACCCACCTGGCTCCCCTCCCTTTTCGGGAGCTTGGTTTGCTTTACTGTTGTGTCTCAATACACTTTGCCACCCACCTCTCCTCACCGTCTACCTCTTCCCTCTTCCAAGCAGCGTGACCAAGAACCGTCACGAAAGGGGAGAAATCCTGTAACAGAGGCAGCGCCCTCAGTTCCTGCTTTGCTCAGAGTTCTTGTCGTGAGTGGGTGCTGAATTTTGCCAGACACCCTGTGTCCGTTCATGGAATCCTATGATCTTTCTGCTTCAGCGTGTTCCTTGGTGGATTACACACATTGACTTGTGGGTGTTGAACCAGCCTTGCACACCTGTGACAAATCCGACCTAGTAATAGAATCTAGTTCTTTCTGTACATTGTCTGACTGCTAACATTTGGTTCAAGATTTTTATATCTAGGGGCTCCGGGGTGGCTCAGTCAGTGAAGCGTCTGCTTCAGCCCAGGTCATGATCGCAGGGTCCTGGGATCGAGTCCCATATCGAGATCTCTGCTCCTGCCTCTGCTGCTCCCCCTGCTTATGCTCTCTCTCTCTCAAACAAATAAATAGATAAACCTTTAAAAAAAAACACTTGAGACTTTATCTGGCTTTCTGAAAACTATTTTATTCATTAATTAAATGGACAAATATAAAACTACATTATCATGCTAATTACGCATAAATAGTAGCAAAATTTATAAAATAAGCAAATTCAGTCTGATTATTTTAAATTTTCTGTTAAGACTAAGTTAAACATTAAAATTACACATAGTTTTACCTAAACGATACAAAATAAATGTATAATATTATGAATTTCAATTTATGCAAAAAATATTAGCAAAAGTTTTAAACTGGCAAATGCTACCTTGCTCTTACATTAAATGCTTACAGTCTTAAGGCATAACAAATTAATCTTTTTCTTAGTATAAACTCTGTCACAATATTCTGGAGTTAAACTATTTTGGAACAGAAAAAATTATTTCTACAAAGATTACAGGACCCAATAATGGAAAAGACTTTGCGTTTCTTTAAGAGTCTAAATAGTTGATTTCAATCAAAATGTCACCGACGGAGACTAACACAGGAACCGGTGACGTCGGATGACGGGCTGGGAGGAAGTGGCTGGTTCCAAGACCCTGGGACATCCCAGGCCAGCAAGACGCCCAGCGACCCTGTGCCTCACATCCCAGAGAAGCACAGGAAGCAACACCCAACACTCAGACCAGCTCTGCAACAGTGATGTCAAATCGGCTCGATGAGAAATTATTTCATAAGAATCTATCTTGGTAAAATATAGCAGGAGCCTCCTAAATATAGTTGTCATGTAGTCAGATGCTATTCAGCCATCGGAAAGCGATCCTAGGTGCGTATCAGGTGGGGTTCAGTTGAGCTCTGCTGGCGTGGAGGCCGGTGGAGACGTGCTTGCCCCTGTAATGCAACGGGAAGAGATGGCTGCTGGAGAGAGATACGAAGATGACATTTTTTTACGAATTAAGATTCTTAACCCATTAATTTTAAGTAACGGAAAGAACATATTTCTGTTCTCATATTCGAGGACCAGTCCTGAAGTCTCTATAAAAGTGTAACTCCCGGGGACGCCTGGGTGGCTCAGCGGGTGAAGTGTCTGCCTCGGCTCAGGTCATGATCTCAGGGTCCCGGGATGGAGTCCTGTCTCGGGCTCCCTGCTTCTCCTTCTTCCTCTGCTCCTCCCCCTGCTTGTGCTTCTATTTGTCAAATGAATAAATAAAATCTTCAAAAAAAAAAGAAAGAAAAGAAAATGCAACCTCACAGAGATCATGACTTTAGCTATTTGTGGGAATAAACAGGAGAGTGAAACGTTTCTGATCCTCCTCTAGCTGCAAGCCCCTCACTTCTGTAGGACTTTACACGGCCTCTGGATTCCTCGGGGTGAGATCCGGGGTGAGACAGGAAATCTCAGGGAACAGAGCCTCAGTGAACGCGGGCTGTGGGGCGCACTTCACCTTGAACGTCCCCGGCACCCTCGCCCTCGGGCACCTCCGGGTCGGGGTCAGACTCTGCACCCTGGCGCCCGTCGGGCTCTTGCGGGGACGGAGCCGGAGGGGTCGCCCCGGGGGCCTGCGGGGTTCTCTTGTCTGCGTCCGCTCGCTGCTGCAGCCACTCGTCCTTATACCCATTGCTGATAAGTTTGGAAAAGTTTGTGGGTGAACTGGCTTTTTGACTAGGCCTCAAAAAGAGAGAAATTCATGTCAAACTTCAGTGCAAAGGTCAATTAACGGTAGTTCCGACCACATCTCAGCGAGTGAGCCGGTAATAGCCAGGATGCGTTCTTGTTCCTCAAACATAGCGGAGATATTCCTCTCTCTCTTTCTCTCTCAATCTCGATGTCCCTCTTCCCAATTTTTAAAGTCAATTTAATTAATTAATTTACTGAAGCCATCTGTATGCTCAACGTGGGGCTTGAACTCAGGACCCCAAGATCACAAGCTGCACTCCCAGCGGCGGCCCCCCTTCCCCTGGGAGCCCCAGGTAACGTACTCGCAGCCGTCCCTGCACATGGTGGGAGCTTGCTCACCTTTCCCGTGAGCGTGAGCGCACTAGAGGATACCGCGGCATTTCTCGGGGAAAACACCCGCTTCCCTGGGAGGTGGTGGGTTGCCCGGACGCTACCATCTCTACCAAATGGTCCTTTTTCTCGACTAGCTCTTCCTCCACATTAAAGGTGAGCTCTCCTGGGGGTGCCTGGCTGGCTCCATCACGCTCCATGGAGCGTGCGACTCGTGACCTCGGGGTCGTGAGTTCGAGCCCCTGGGTGTGTAGATGACGTCAATAAATTAACTTTAAGGAGAAGATTATCTGCTGCTTCTCTGCACTGCTTTGCCTTCGTCTGTTGCTCACTTGGGGGCCACTCGTTGGCAGGCACAGAGTGCTCAGGGTGCGGGGACCCCGACGTGGAGGGGGCACCCAGGCCTGGGAGCAGGACCGTGGCACAGGTGGCACACCTGAGTTGCTGTGTTGTGAAGGGTCGCCTGCCGGCCCCCCTGCTCCCCCAGTGGCAGTGTGGGAACCCCACCCGCTGCCCCATACGCTGTGCTCACTGACCCCTTTGCTCCCCACCACCCCAGACCAGAGCCTGTTTGAGGAATTCGTGGGACAGTTAGTGACACAACTCCTGGCACTCGCCGGGGTTCTGAGACAGTGAAGAGAAGCTAAGGTCTCGGGGCTTCACTCCCCGAGTGCCGGAGCCCCGAATGCAGAGCCCGAGTGACACCAGCGGCTGCGGACACACGGTCCAAGCCCTGGTGACAGGACACGTCCGGATGGGGCCATGCACACGTGTGGGGTGGTGCCCCTGAATTTAAAAGGTGAGGACGGGGTCCCCGGTGGGGGCCTCAGGCAGGACACAGGCTCACGGGACAGAGCAGCCTGTTGGAGATGTTCCGTACCCACACAGCACATGCGTGGAAGGGGGGCAGCTGCACTCCACGGGGGCACGACCCCCACGCTGGCGGGCAAGGCTGGGCCACGGGGCTGTGACAGCAACGAGCCGTCACCAAAACGTGTTCCCAGGAAGAGAGCATCATGAGGCCGTCAGCCCAGCGCCGTGTTGCCATTCCTGGGACTCTGTCCTCGGGACGCTGGACGCAGAGGCCCACACCCAAACCTGACCCAGGTGGCGTGGGCACGGCCCAGGTGACTTACATGGGAGGGAAGGAGACTCTGCTTCCTTCGGGGTCTTTGGGGCTGAGCGGGGTCCCCACTTTGCTCGGGTACTTGGAGTTAATGGCTGGTAGCCTCACCTGTTGCAAGAACCACACAGAACCCTGGTTGGGGGACAGGCATCCCGACGCTGGCAGAGGACATTCCCTGACCGTGGAACCAAACAAACAGGGCGGGAACACTCGGGCAGGCTCTTCGTTCCCCCGGCCCTGAGCAACAGTCCCAGCTGCCCCCAGGGTCCCAGGGCAGTGGCTCCGCCCGGCTGCACAGAGGCTGGGAGGCTTGGGGCCCACGGAACAGCTCTGTTCCTTCACGGCTGTGCTGCTGACACACTCGGCAAAACCCGGAGAACGGTGCTTGGTAAAAAAAAAAAAAAAAAAAAAAAAAGTGCATTTCCTGCGTGTGCGTTACACCCTAACAAAGTGGGTTGGGAGGATGCTACAGGAAAACGAAAGAAAACCCACAAAAAGAAAAAAAAAAAAAAAACAAGCTAGCACACGGGGAGGCACCCAGGCATTTCTAGGGAGGGAAGGAGGCCCTTCAGGAAGGGGGCACGCTCCGGCCCAGCACCCCGCAGGTGAGCGGCCGTCCTCGGTAATACGGGCTTGGGTCTGGCATGAGGGGGGGGGGCATGGCAGGGACAGCCAGGCCCTCCCCACGGGGCGCCCCCCAACCCTGGCTGGCACCCCGCACCCTGTTCCTGGAGCTCAACCAGCCGCCCTGCTGGTGTCCATCACCACAACCGGCTTGCTCCCTGCCTCCTTGCTTCGCACACTCATCAGGCCCCACACGGTGGGGGTCGGGGGCTGTGAAACCCCACTGGACCTGCGGCTCAGACAGCAAGTAGCGTCTCCAAGGTCCCCTAGATGCACACGGTGGCGGAGGTTAACACCCAGGACCCCTTCATCGCTCCATGTTTGGGCACTTAGTGTATCACCAAGACTCTGGACCTGATCCTAAAAACAGTGTGTTTCATGGATCATGCAGAGGATCCGAACCCAGAACCTGAGCCAGAGGAAAACCGGGCAGCCCACGGGAGACGACCGACATGGCGTCCAACTGCCTAAGTCCGCAAACTGCCAGGGTTTCTCCTCAAACCAGGACACAGAGAAGACAAGCCTGGGAGTCGGGCGCAGAGGTTCCGGGCACCCACTGGCACCCAGGCTGGGAAAACCACTGTTTGCCTCACAAGGCCTCCGAGCTGGAGCCCCGGGGGGCAGTGCTCAGCCCAGGACAGTGGGGAAGGCCTCCGAATCGAGATAGCCAACCACAAGGCCACCAACTGCAGAGGGCCCCGAGCTCCTAATTTCTCTTTTAAAATACAAATCCCCAGGGCTCCTGGTGGCTCAGTGGGTCAAGCATCGCCTTTGGCTCAGCTTATGACCTCAGGGTCCTGGGACCCAGTCCTGCATCGGGCTCCCTGCTCAGCAGAGAGCCTGCTTCTCCCTCTGCCCCTCCTCATACCCCTGCTTGTGCTTCCTTGCTCACTCTATCTGAAATAAATAAATAAAATCTTAAAATAAAATAAAATAAAATAATTAAATTAAATTCCAATCCCCAAACAAGCCTCTCACCCTGGAGCCAGCTGCTCTTGGTGGTCAAATACCCCCCAGGAGCTTTGTACCGGAGAAAAGTATCACTTCTCTCCCCTTATGATCAATAAGGAATCTTCCAGGGAGATCTTCACTTAGACACAATAGACAGGTTTAGGGAACGGATAATGAGTAAATACAGGATGTCCTTCCTACACATGCCGGAGGCTGCCCTAGACAAGCATTAACCAGCTAAAAATCACTTTCTACAAGGTCATCTTACCTGGTGGAGTTAATACGTATAAAAAGGAAAAAAACGGAGTATTATCAGGGCCTCTTGCCCTTTAGTCGATTCAATTTAAAATACAGAACTGGGGGGCAGCCCCGGGGGGGGGGGGCGGCTCAGCGGTTGAGCATCTGCCTTGGGCCCAGGGCATGACACCCGGTCCCGGGATCAAGTCCCACGTCGGGCTCCCTGCAGGGAGCCTGCTTCTCCCTCTGCCTGTGTCCCTGCCTCTCTGTGTCTCTCATGAATAAATAAAATCTTTAAAAAATACATACATACATGCATACAGAACTGGGCGCCTGGGTAGCTCAGTGGGTTGAGTGACCGCCACTGGGTTTCAGCTCAGGCCCCGATCCCAGGGAGGGGAGGTGGGATGCAGCCCGCGTCGGGCTCCCTGCCCCTCCCTCCCACGTGTGGGCTCTCTCTAAAATAAACACGTCTTTTTAAAAAATAAAATACAGGGCCGTGTCGCGGTTCTGCTCTCCGTGTGGCGGCCACAGCGACAGCTGACAGCCACATGGAGCCGCAAGCCCCGCAGGGCAGGCGGCCACTCACCTTTCTCTTCTCCTTCTCCCGTTCCTCTGCCTCCCTTTGCCAAACTGTTTTCACGTCGAAGTCGAAGGGCCCCCTTCTGGACTCATAGCTACCGTTGGCTGGCTCGGGGTGAAACTCTTCGTAAACCATGTAATCGGGCATGGAGACGCTGGGGATCCTGCAGAGACAGGGGCACAGGCCCACCTGAGGCCACTCCCTCCCCTCCCCCCACTTCCTCCTCCCTCCTCCCCATTCCTCTGTTCCCCTCCCTCCCCTCCCCCCCACTCCCTCCCCTCCCTCTTCCATCCTTCTTCGTTGTCGCCTCCCTCCTCCCTCCCCCCTCCCTCCTTTTCCCTTCCCTCCTTCACATTTATCATTTCACAGGATCATTTAATAGCACTACTGTTTTTTTCTGTTTTCTGTTTGATGGTCGTTTTTTAAAAGATTTTATTTATTTATTTTTAGGGAAAGAGAGAGATGGGGGACCGTGTGAGTAGGGGAAGGGGCAGAGGGAGAGAGAGAATCCCAAGCAGATTCTGCCCTGGGCTCGTCCCATGACCCTGAGATCAGGACCTGAGCCAAAATCAAGAGTCGCCACTCAGTGGACTAAGCCACCAGGCGCCCCCCCTCCCCCCGTCATGTTTAATGTAGTATGTAAACTTCCAGCCTGATTTCCTGTCTCCACTGGAAAGCACTCAGGCCTGGAGCAGGGGCAGGGGCAGGGGGCGGGGATGTGCACCCGCTGCATTCTCCTAGTCACCATCGCCCTCACTGCCCAAGGGCTAAGGGCTGGGGCTTCACCCTGGCAGCAGTGAGGGGCACGGAGGGGGCAGGGCCTGGGCAAGGTGCGGGCCCGCAGCTGGGGGAGGAGAGGGAGGCCCTCGGGGTGCAGTGCTCAGAGCAGGGAGTACAAAGAGCCAGAAGGGGCTCCCGCTGCCCTGACCCAGAGGGAGGACAGAGGCAGGTGGGAGGCCCCCGAGGAAGCCATGGGTGAGGCCAGGGAGCAGAGGTCAGAGGCTGGGAATGCAGGCTAGGGACCCCTGGGGAGAAGCCGCCGCAGGGACAGCAGCTGGGCCCCCCTATATTTCGGGCTCTGTACGGGCAGGGAAAGGCCCCAGAGACCGAAGGGACAGGAACTCTCCGCGGAAGGCCAGTTTCCACCGCGGCTCCCAGCTCCCGACTTTTCACAGGAGGAAACTGTCTCCTGTACCAACCCCCCCTCACGCCCTCTGAGCACCAGGAGGCCTGGGCCGTTGACAGGGACACATGGGGTGGGAGGGGCAGCAGTGCTCTCTGCTCCCCCACAGGCCCAGCAGGTGGGCAGTGCGAGCCGAGGCAGGGAGGGGCCGGGCCTCCTGATCCTCCCACAACGCCCTGCAGCAGCGGCCTCCTGGGCTGCACAGGGCTGCGCGGATGCTCAGAGGCACCCCGGCCTTGTGTCCAGGTAGGGGACAGGCTCTGGGACGGACAGGCAGTGCGGTAAGCTGGCCCCCGGGGGCCTGGGGTCTCTGGAAGCTCCTCCTGGGACACGTGGGCCCTCTCCTCTCTGCTTTGCTCAAATCAGAGCTCCGCTGTGTTGGCCGAGTGTGAGTTTTAGATTCCAGGGGGACGGGAACCTCGAGGACAAAACGGCACGTGACCCCGGGCACAGGCTTCAGGGACACGGGGTAACAGCTCACACACATCTGGGCTCCTGCCCCAGGCTCCACTGTGAAGCCTCCCGGGAGGGGGTCTGGAAGCTAGGGCATGCATGCCCAAGCACGGGGATTTCTAGGCCTTGCAGACGTTCTGGGGGATGTGGCGTCCCACAGGAACTTGGGAGTGCCTGCATTTCTGGCTTCACAGGGCACCTGCGTCCGGCTGCTGGTTATAGGGGCACAGGGGACACAGCTTGAAGCTGAGGCCCCGAGGCAGCCCCAGAGGTCTGGCGCTGGTCCCGGCTGGGATCCCGTTGGCCACGCCCCCTGAGCAGCCCCCCTGAGCCGCTCCCAGGGCTGTACCACCCCCCTCCGTGTCCCTCGGGATACTCACTGTCTCTGCTCGGCCGTGGGCGGCTTGCTGTGGTGCACGTACCAGTCTGGCAAGGAGTAGGCCACCGGGGAGCCCTTCCTGGTCCCGGGCACAAAGTGTTTCAGCAGATCTCAAAGCCAAAGAGACACGGCGTGAGCGTGTAGCACAAGAGCAGGCAGGTGACCACACAGCAGGGACTGTGACTTCTCCCGGGGTCGGCCCAGTCCCGGGGTCCCCAGAGCTCGCCCTGCTATGGAGCTGGCGCCCACGCGTGCTGACGTCCACCATCAGGGGACAAAACTCCTCGGGTCCCCGGGGGGCTGCCTGCTGGCTGCGCTCTCAGCTACCCTCCTCACGTCCGACTGTTCGCTGCCGCTGTTCTCACACAGCGGGGAGTGGGCGAGGGGACGTGGTCATCAGGGCCTCCGCTTGGAGCCACCGAGGGGGACAGAGCACAGGCTCCTTCCTGTCTGAGACCCACCAGCTCAGGAGCCGCCTGCCCGCTCCGAGGCTTCCGGCCCTCCCGCCACGGCCTCCTCCAAGCTGGGGGCCGGCCCTGCCTGCTAACAGGCCGGCAGATCCCACGTCTCGGGATCAGTAGATGTTTAACACTTTGTTCTGCGTTTGATTTTGAAACATTTCAGACCCAGAGAGAAGTTGCAAGAACAGCCGGGATCCCCCAGCTCCCCCCGTGCTCGCATCTGCTTGCTTTCTTCCTCCCTTCTCCCTGCCTCCTTGGGCATTGTCACTGTCACTGCTGTTTTGGGGCAGTTTGGCGACCTCTCGCAGACCTGTGGCCCCTCTGCCCCCATGAACTTGGACCGAAGGTTCCGGAGGGCGGGTGCTACACAGTCATGGCGCCTGGATGGCATCAGCACTGACGTCCCGATGCCATCCTCTTATCTAGCGTGAGATCCCTTAGCGGGAGGCTGGGGGACAGGGAGAGGCCAGAGGAACATGGAGGCCCTGTCCTGGGCCTGACACGGAGCGGGCGGGGTGGGGTGGCCTGGCTCCTGGACACCCAGGCCCAGTGTCTCAGGGGGACCCCTGACAGACACTGATGGCGGCCAGGACAAGGGGAGGACAGGCGGTGGCTCTCACGTCCCTCAGCACTAGGGCCACCGTCCCAGGGGGACCCCTGCCTCAGCGGCCGTCCCTAGGAACGTCCTCGCTTAAACCGTGGGCCACGGCGGATGCTCCTCGGCCTCGTCTGAATCTTGTCTGTGGCCTATGTCGCCACCACAGGACAGCCCCTGACGAGGGCCAAGCAGGACCCCACTGGTCGCCCCGAGGGGCCAGGGAGGTGCAGGCACGACCCCCCGGGGGGGCAGACGGTGGCCCGAGCCCCTCGGCACCCCACCGCGGGCTGGGGGCGGGTGACCCTGCGATGGTGCAATATCCCAGGCTGTGCCATGACCCTGGACGTCCACTGGCCTGGGGCGGGACGTCCGCATCACAGGCAGCTCCTCGCGGAGGCAGCGAGGGGCCCTGGGGTGGCAGCGCTGCTTACCGGGCCGGCCGCCTTGCTTGGCCAGCTTCACGTACTCCGAGTCCGTGTCTTTCACCCAGTACCTCCGTGGCCCAGGCACGTGCCCATGGGGAGGCTCCCTCAGGCCACTGAGGCCTGGGATCTGGGAGGCCGGCGGCGCGTCCACGGGCTTCTCCGACCGCTTCGCGGGAAGGTGGTAATACCAGTCTACAGAGAGGAGAGAGAGCGAGGAGCGCTCAGGTGGGCCTGCGCCCCTGCCCACGACGAGCCGCGACGAGCCACGCCGGGCCGGGGTCGCGCCCACGGGACATGGGCACGGGAGAAAGCGCCCCTTTGGAACACCTGCAGTGGCAGCAAGCCAGCGGCCACCCACGGGAGGGGCAGCTCCCCGAGCACCGGCCGCACCTCTGCCCCCGGGGGCACAGCCCCCTCCAGGAGTCCAAATCCCCTGTGTGTGTGGCCCGTGTTCCCCCGCCGCGGGCCCGGGAGCAGCCCGCGTTTCCGCTACTTCAGGGAGCACAGGTGCCTGCACAATCCCGGGTCACGCACAGCGCGGCAGGCCAGGCGGGGTATGTGGCAGGACTGGCCCAGACCTGCTGCCCCGGCACGCTAAGGACACCGAGACACAACGTCCGCCCAGAAGCAGCGGCCTGGGTGTGCACGGCGGCGTCTGGCAGCAGCGGGACGAGGCCCCCAGCCCTCTGCCCCTGCGGCCCGTGCTTGAGGCCATGGCGGGACCCCCTTAGCCAGAGGTCACAGGTGCACGGACACGGGAGGCACCCAGGACCACGGAGCCACACCCTTGCAGTCGCCGGTGGGCCCACGGAGCTGGGGCATGAGGGGTGCAGACGGGGCGGGGGGGCAGGGGGTCACCTCTGTGGGTGGCCCTGAGTGGGAGGTGCCACCAGGGAGGGGGAAGGCCACCTGCTGCCCGCCCTCCCTCCCCCTCCCTGCTCTGAGCCCCATGGACAGAGGCGCCCTGGGGAATGAGGGGACCATGGTGCTGGCAGAGCAGACACCCAGGACAGCCCCGCAGGCCGTTCTGTGACCACTGAGGCCCGTGGGGAGCGAGAGGTAGATACAGAACCCCAGGGACCCGCACTGCCCAGTATCTACTTATGGTCCCCAGAGGGAAGAGATGGGGACACTCGGGCTGCTGTGAAGACATTTTTAGGTGAGATCAACATTTACATCAGTGGACTTTGATTAAAGCAGACCACCGTCCATCACGTGGGTGGGCCGCATCTAGTCAGTTGAAGGCCTTGAGAGAAAAAGACTGAGGTCCCCCCGCCCCGGCCCAGGGAGGAGGGAACGCTGCCTCCAATGCCTCCAATAGCCTTTGGGCTCTCGAGGCAACATCAGCTCCTCCCTGGGTCTCCGGCCCTGCGGGCTTTGGACTTACCCAACTCCACAACTGTGTGAGCCACTTCCTTAAAATAAACCTCTCCACAGACAGATGACAATAGACAGATGATAGACAGCTGACGGTGATAGAGAGACGCGCTGTTGGTTCTGCTGCCCTGGAGACTCTAATACCGCAGGTGACGGGAAACTGTGCTGAGTAGATTATGTCAACCTGGGTGGCTCGGTTGGGTGAGCGTTGGGCTCTTGGTTTTGGCTCAGGTCATGATCTCAGGGTCGTGGGATCAAGCCTTGCATCAGGCTCTGTACTCAGCTTGGAGTCTGCTTGCGATTCTCTCTCTCTGCCCCTCCCCGCCTCGTGCGCTCGCTCTCTCTCTCCCTCTCAAAAAATAAAATAAGTATTTAAACAAAACTAATGTATGTAACACACAAGGATCCCATGAACAACTGTCCTCCAAAGGGAAAAGCTTACACGTCCAATTTCTACTTCTAACGCTGGGTTCACTGCATAAAAATGAATCATATTCAACATAAGAAAATATTTGAAGCTCTAAAGGACAGCAATGAGCTAAATAGAGATTTTTAGTTTTGAGAATGAAAAATAAGTATTAGGAAAGGTTTAAGAATCAAGCAGAAGCTCACAGGAGGAAGAGCTCGGGCAGCTTCCTACTCGGATCACATTCAACTCAAATATTCTCTCTTAGAGGGAGGACGTGCCCTTCTTGCTTTATTTTCCCTCTCTGTGTTTTGCTTACTAATTAATCCACGGAGGACAGTGTATCTTCCAGTTCTCATTACGGGAAGCCGCAGGCAGGCACTGAACTCCAGTCCAGGCACTGATAGCTGCGTGCAAAGGCGCTCGCGTGCACACACGCACACACACGCAGGCCGAAAGGAACCAGGACGGTCCTGTAGCCTCAGCACCTAGAATTATTAGGACTCGCACGGCAATTATTACCAGCACTACGGCGACCAGTCTCCTTCTGCTTGTTTGGCTCCATCGGCAGCGCTGGGCCTCACGTGGATTTCTCTCTCTCTCTCTCTCTCTCTCTCTCTCTCTCTCTCCCTCCCTTTTTAAACATCTATTTACTTAATTGCCAGAGCTTGAGCGGGTGGGGCGGGGGGACGTGCAGCAGACTCCCCAGGGACCGTGGACGCAGATGCAGGATTCCATCTCACAGCCCGAGATCACGACCCCAGCAGAAACCCACGGCCAGGCCGGTGCTGGCGGGACTGAGCCACCCGGGCGCTTCTCCTCTGTTTCTGGGTGTGGCCTCCAAGCGTCCTCACCCGCAGGAGAGGAGCTCCCTTCTGCTACCCATGAGGCGAGAGGTTAGGGGGGCAGGCAGCGACCCCGGGGGCTCCGAGGGCTGATGGCCATGCTCCCGCCTTCAGAGTCTGGGCCGAGGAGCCCCCACGGGACATTCCCTCCCAAAACTGTCCGGGCTTCAATGTGCACGTCTATGAACCGCGGATACTGATGCCACCTCGGGCTGTTCTGAGGGTAAACGCTAGTGTATAAAAGTGCCGGGGCCTTGCAGTGTCCGCTTGGGCCGTGTACACAGGGAGGCCACCCTCCAAGGTGTGCAGCAGTCACAAAAGGCTGAGAGCCCGTGGTGAGGAGGGGAAGCGGCCAGCTCCCCGCCCTGCCCCACCCGGGTCCCAGCAGAGCCACCGCGTCACCAGAGGCGGCCACATCTAGCTGGATCCCGAGCTCATCTGGGAACCGAAGGACAGGCTTCCTTACCCTCGGAGCAGACGTGAGCCCCGCGGGGGCCCGCCAGCTTCCCACACAGCCGCGGAGACCCCTGTGCGTCCAGAGGGGAGGGGAGAAGGCCCAGGGCCGCAGGGCCTCCAGCTGTGTTCCCTGTCCAGCCACTAGAACCCCCAGGCGTGGCTGAGCTGGTGCGGGGACAAGAGCGCCGTGGGGTGCAGCTGGAAGAGGCCGGGCCTGCACTCAGGGGAGCGCCTGAGGCTCACCTAGGGTCTGACTAGCAGGACGCAGGACGGCTCCCCACGTGGCCTACGGCGGGGGGGGGGGGGGGTGGCGGGCAGCAGTAGGAAGCCTGCTTTCCTTTGCAGAAAATAGAGAAGATGGGCTGGGCTGTGTTCGGTTTTTCTCATTTTCTCTTCCTGTTTCCCTTTAAGTGGCTCTGACCCTGGGGTACAGGAGCTGCTTTCTTTGCCCCCCCACCCCCACCCCAGGCCTGCAGAGTCAGGGTGCACAGCCCCATTCCCAAGTCACTCACCGCAGGGAGCGTAGCGGCTCACATTGGCGCCCTGCAGCTCTTTGCTTGTGTTCCTCATGCTGGGGTCGCGCTGGGCCCGGTGAGGCCTCTTCCACAGCTCTCAGTCCACCTCCACCTGCAGGCACGCGGGCGTCTCATGGTTGGGGACAGGCGTGCATGACCACGTGGGTATGCAGCAGGGGCCTATGCATGCTGGTATACAGCAGGAGCACAGCCATGCCCTGTACACACCACCCAGGCAGGTGGGTGCACAGCAGGGGACAGAGGTCATCCTGGGTATACAGTAGGGGCCTACACCCATTAGTGTAACAGGGCGCGTCCACACAGGCACACGCACTCCGGGTGCAGCAGGGGCACGTCCACGCAGGCACACGCACTCCAGGTGCAGCGGGGCGCGTCCACGCAGGCGCTCGCACTCCGGGTACAGGGGGGCGCGTCCACGCAGGCACACGCACTCCGGGGTACAGCAGGGGCGCGTCCACGCAGGCACACGCACTCCGGGTACAGCAGGGGCGCGTCCACGCAGGCACACATGCACTCTGGGTGCAGCGGGGCGCGTCCACGCAGGCACACACACTCCAGGTGCAGCAGGGGCACGTCCACGCAGGCGCTCGCACTCCGGGTACAGCGGGGCGCTTCCACGCAGGCACACGCACTCCGGGGTACAGCAGGGGCGCGTCCACGCAGGCACATGCACTCTGGGTGCAGCGGGGCGCGTCCACGCAGGCACACACACTCCAGGTGCAGCAGGGGCACGTCCACGCAGGCACACGCACTCCGGGTGCAGCAGGGGCGCGTCCACGCAGGCACACGCACTCCGAGTGCAGCAGGGGCGCGTCCACGCAGGCACACGCACTCCGGGTGCAGCAGGGGCACGTCCACGCAGGCACACGCACTCCGAGTGCAGCAGGGGCACGTCCACGCAGGCACATGCACTCCGGGTGCAGCAGGGGCACGTACACGCAGGCACACGCACTCCGGGTGCAGCAGGGGCACGTCCACGCAGGCGCTCGCACTCCGGGTGCAGCAGGGGCACGTCCACGCAGGCACACGCACTCCGAGTGCAGCAGGGGCACGTCCACGCAGGCACACGCACTCCGGGTGCAGCAGGGGCGCGTCCACGCAGGCACACGCACTCCGGGTGCAGCAGGGGCACGTCCACGCAGGCACACGCACTCCGGGTGCAGCAGGGGCACGTCCACGCAGGCACACGCACTCCGGGGTACAGCAGGGGCGCGTCCACGCAGGCACACGCACTCCGGGTGCAGCGGGGCGCGTCCACGCAGGCACACGCACTCCGGGTGCAGCAGGGGCGCGTCCACGCAGGCACACGCACTCCGGGGTACAGCAGGGTCGCGTCCACGCAGGCACACGCACTCCGGGTGCAGCGGGGCGCGTCCACGCAGGCACACGCACTCCGGGTGCAGCAGGGGCGCGTCCACGCAGGCACACGCACTCCGGGTGCAGCAGGGGCGCGTCCACGCAGGCACACGCACTCCGGGTGCAGCGGGGCGCGTCCACGCAGGCACACGCACTCCGAGTGCAGCAGGGTCGCGTCCACGCAGGCACACGCACTCCGGGTGCAGCGGGGCGCGTCCACGCAGGCACACGCACTCCGGGTGCAGCGGGGCGCGTCCACGCAGGCACACCGCCGGGGCAGCGGGGAATCCCGGCGGCGGGAGTCTCGGGGCAGGGGCGGTCCAGGTCCGGGGTGACGCCGGCCCCGCCCACTCACCTGCGGCCCGGGGTCTCGGGGTCGGGGCAGCGGCGGGCGCGCAGGCGGCTCTCCCAGCGGCGGGCCGGGGGCGCCCAGCCCACCCCGCACTCCCAGCGGGTGCGGAAGCGCAGCGCCCCGCGTCGTCCTGGCAACGGCCGGGCGGCCAATGGGTGGACGCGGCGGGAGCGCCCGCAGCCAATCGGAGAGGCCTGCGGGAGCCGGCCGGCCAATCAGGGCGGGGGCGGGCGTCCTGCTCCCCGAGGGGCCCCACCCCGGGGAGTTTCCGCGGAGGACAACAAGCGGGCGGGCGGGCCGGTCAAGCTCCTTTTATCTCAAGCAGTTTTTAAAAAGGGCGAATGGGAGCTCCTGGCTCAGCTGGGGGAACAGGGGTTCTGGTTGTTGGGCGGTGACCACGAGCCCCACCCTGGGCGCCGGGATTGCGAAAAACAAAACACTTTAAAACTAAACTTTAGGGCAGCCCGGGCGGCTCGGCGGTTAGCGCCGCCTTCAGCCCAGGGCGCGACCCGGGGTCTCGGGATCGAGTCCCGCGTCGGGCTCCCTGCATGGGGCCTGCGCGTCCCCCTGCCTGTGTCTCTGCCTCTCTCTCTCTCTCTGTCTCATGAATACATAAAATCTTTAAGAAAAAATAAATAAGTAAAAAGAGGAGGAATAAATGCTCCGTAAAGCGGCAAAGGGCCTGTTTGCCAACTGTGTGTCAATAGTGACGTGATCATGTCAACGTCCTTCCTCTTACCCTCTGTTTTCAGGAGGGTTTTTTTAAAAACACTTTTTTAAAGCCTTCGGCCGTGTTTCTGCGGAAAAGTGTTCAGATTTCTGCGGGTCCCCTGCCCCCAGTGCGGACCTGCGGCCTCTGGGTTGGGGACCCGCACAGGTGCAGGCGGAGGGTGAGGAGCCTGGTGGCCAGAACCGGGCTGCGGTGACCGAGCGGCCCTGACTGCGGCTCACCCGGCTCCCGGCCGGGATCCTGCAGACTCCTCACTGTGTAGAGGCGCTTGGGTGGCCTTCAAGAATGACGACGGGCCTCCTTTTGCATAGGTCACAGCCTCATCTGCCTAGGGGACTGAGGATCAGGAGAAGGTTGGTTCTGGGAGTAGCTGATCGTAATACACCTGAGACGAATTCAGCACTGTGAGATCACTCACACCAGAATTAATTTTTTGTTTTAATTTAAAATAATGAGGGGCCCTGGGTGGCTCTGTGATGGAGCATCGCCTTCTGCTCCAGGCCTAATCTAGGGGTCATGCTCCCTGCAGGGAGCCTGCTTCTCCCTCTGTTTATGTCTCTGCGTCTTTCTGTGAAATAAATTAATAAGTACATACATACACAAATTCTTTTAAAAACATTTAAAATAACAAATAGAATAGTTGATCCTACTAAACTGCAGTGGGCCTAGCAAGTATCTTTCTCTGTGTCAGAAGTGGGTTAATAGAAGAGAGAAGAATTCACAGAAGTTGAGTCTTCCCTAGGAATGGATATCATAATTCAAAAACTGAATTTCTCTTGCTCATCATTCCCTTAGGGGAAAGTTTCCACTTCCGAAGAGCGCTTGAAAGCACAGTGTTTGCAGACATCAGATCAAATGAGAGTTTAGGCAGGGCACAGGACACAGGATAATCTGCTTAGAATGAGCGTATCTCATTTCCTCTGCTTCATCACAGGTGGGCTTTCTGTGCCATAACAGCTCTGAGGGTTTAGAAGGATCCAGATGTCCTCACATATAAGCCCACTTACGCACATTTTATGTGATTTTATTTGTAGATGTTTACATAGAATGTCTATCGTACATATGTCATTTTTTAAGACTTTTTTTTTATTCATTTGAGAGAGACAGGGAGCAGGTGCGTGAGCAGGGGGAGGGGCAGACGGAGAGGAAGGAGCAGAGTCCTGGCTGAGCAGGGAGCCCATGCAGGACTCCGTCCCAGGACCCCAGGATCATGACTTGACCCGAAGGCAGGCGCTTGACCGGCTGAGCCTCCCAGGTGCTCCTCCTACATATATCTCATATGCCCATCTCTATGTGCATATCTATATTTATCACATGTATCTTATTATATCATATGTAAGGTTTTATATATTATAAATCATGTGTATAGACCTCTTATTCTGGATATATTATATCTTAATAGGTAGCTCCTGCTCTGGAGTATTTTGAGAAAAGGAAAAAAAAATGTATTTAGGTACAAATTCTGCTTTCTCAAAGCCCTTGAACTTGTCCTGCCTGCCTAGTCTCTCTGGGTTTACTCCTGTTGTTGACTGAAGCTGATCTAGTTCAACTCCCAGGACACATGTTCATCTCTGCTTTTGTCTATCCTTGTTATGTATCCAGCCCCGAGCAGCTAAAAGGCCTGGTACGATTCCCTTCCCTAGACATCCTCCCCAGGACTCCATCCACCTCCTCTCTGTCAGGTGGCTTACTCTTTACACTGGGCCTTCACCAACAGGAGGCATTTCTAAACTGAGTGGTTTTTTAAAAAAGTAATAATAATTTAAAATGAGGGGTGAGTAGTGTAGTTGGTTAAGTGTCCAACTCTTAGTTTTGGCTCAGGTCACAATCTTAGGGTCCTGAGATGGAGTCGCACGTCAGGCTCTGCGCCCAGCTTGGAATCTGCTTGGGATTCTCTCTCTTCTCCCTTTGCCTCTCCCAGCCTAAAATAAATAAATAAATCTTTAAAAAATGTTAATCGAAAATAATTTAAAGACAAACTCTTCCTTTCAGTATCTCAGTATTACATCACAGTTTGGGTTTTTAGCCTAGTTGGGAAAACAAGACCATCCTCTTCTGTGGGCACAGAGGGAGGCAGGATTTTTTTGTGTCCCCATCATCACCTTCTACCACACCCTGTATTAGGTGTTGAAGTGATAATAGTCTTTTCTTTTTTCTTTGGTAGAAAATTCTCACATTTTAAAATGGATTTAAGCAAGCTACCTTGCTTGAGATGTAATAGGAAAAATTTTGGAAAAATTAAGAGTGAACACAAAATATGCTTAAGTGACAGGAGAGTTTAGATTGGTTTAAATTGGGGATCCCTGGGTGGCTCAGCAGTTGCGCTTCTGCCTTCGGCCCAGGGTGTGATCCTGGAGTCCCGGGATTGAGTCCCCACGTCAGGCTCCCTGCAGGGATCCTGCTTCTCCCTCTGCCTGTGTCTCTGCCTCTCTCTCTCTGTGTGTCTCTCATGAATTAAAAAAAAAAAATCTTAAAAAAAAGATAGGTTTAAATTAAATCCCTGCGATACAACAATTTATATACAAGGCCAAGGTCATTGTATTGTTTGGAAGGAATACAAAGTCAATAACTTCTATTTGAGAAATAAAATATATGATTTATTATTTTAAGTTTATCATTATATACTCTATCAGAAACCAGTATTTAGAGCAGAGTTGTAGAATTTTTGTTTTATATCCCAAAATGAGAAGATTTTTTTAAAGATTTTATGTATTTATTTGAGAGAGCGTATAAGCAGGGCCAGAGGGCGAGGGAGAAGCAGACTCCCCAGCTGAGCAGGGAGGCTGACATGGGGCTCAGTCCCAGGACCCTGGGATCATGACCTGAGCCCTGAAGGTAGATGCCTAACTGAGGGTCACCCAGGTGTCCCAAGATGAATTTTTTTAAAAATATTAATGCAGTATTCTACTGCCTTTCCTCATTCCAGGGGGTAGAATGGGCCCCGTTCATTTTGGGAAACACATCAGTTTGCCTGCTTTGCATGCAAGCATTTCGCGGGATCTGCCTGCTAAGTAGTTTCCAGTTGGGAAGGCTCATAACTGAGGATGATGAGGGTAACATCATCCATGAGGGTGACAATGAAGACAGCTGTAGACAGAACGTGTGTGCCCCCCCACCCCCATCCCAATCCATAAGGTTGAAATCCAGTCCCCGATGTGATGGTATTTGGAGGTGGGGCCTGTGGGAGGTGATCAGGTCATGAATGGGATTCATGCCCTCATAGAAGAGGCCCCACGGAGGTCCTCGCCCCTTTCCCCATGTGAGGACAGAGCAAGAAGGCTCTCCGTGAACCAGGAGCGCCCCTCACCAGACCCTGAATCTGCCCGCACCGGGATCTCAGACTTCCAACGCCTAGATCTTCGAGAGATGAGTTTCTATTGCCCAGAAGCCCAGGTCATCTGCAGTATTCCTAAAGCACCCTCATTATAGTGGGACCCGGTACCAGAAGTGGGGCGCTGCTGTAACAAATCCACCAAAATGCGGCCGCGGCATTGGGCGGGGGTGCCACGGAGAGGCCGGGACGGCTCTGAGGAAGGCCTAGGCAAGCCTGCATTGCCCCACACAGCAACCCAGGCCGGCCCGGGACAGCTGAGAGCAGGGAGGGCACCAGAGTGAGCCTGTCCTGCTGTGCTGCTTGGGCGAGGCCAGACGGCTCGAGCACAGGGTCGTGCACAGGGCATGGCCTGCAGCTTGGCCCCCCGGACTGCCGGCGGGCAGAGGCAGGATGGACTCAGGCTGCACCTGGCACTTGCAGTACGGGCCCACGCGTCCTGCCTCCCCAACCCCCAAAGCCTCGCACCCGCCTGCTTTCCTGTAGCCCACAGGCTAGTCCTGCGGTCCTCTTCCCCGGGGCGCCCTTCCCTTCCCAGTGTCTCTGCCCGAGGGCCGTGGGCCCCGCGGGTGGGCACCTGCCCCCGTGGATGGTCCACGTTCCTCCCTGGGATCCCTTCCAGCCACGTCCCAGGCACGGACTCCCACGGTTTCACCTCGGGCTGCCCTGCTCCCCAGCGTTTGGTACAGATGACCCATCTCTCCCTCCCGGCTCAGTTAGGGACAGCTGGTAATGGGGACCCTCCAGGCAGGGTCCACGGGGGGAAGTGTCTTGGGGCGCAGCGGAGCAAGGCAGGGAAGGGGAATCGCTAGTATAGATGGCGTCAGCCGCAATTTCAAACTGTGCCAATTAGAAAGGAAACCCAATTGCGGGTAGGTCCTTGTCACAATATTGCTATTTAAAATATATTCTCATAAAGATGGCATTTCGGGGGTGCTTGGGTGGCTCAGTGGGTGAAGGGTCTGCCTTCGACTCAGGTTATATCTCAGGATCCTGGGATCGAGCCCCATGTCGGTCTCCCTGCTCAGAGGGGAATCTGCTTCTCCCTCTTGTTCTGCTGCTCCCTTTCTCATGCTCATTCTCTCTCTCCCTCCCTCTCAAATGAATAAATAAAATCTTAAAAAAAAAAGATGGCATTTATGGTTGTGTTCTTCAGTACCTCTTGATTCCAAACTTCTAACAACAAGAGATAAAACACTAATAGAAAAAATTTACAACCTGGGAGCCATGGCACACCAATAACCATAAAGATACAGGAAATGGAGTAAAAATAGGGACTTTCCTGCCCAAGATACTTCTGCCATCCAAACCTGGGCCACCGAGGAAACAGGCCTGGACAAGACGGTGATGTACCAGGAAATCAATTATTGGATTTTATCATTAGTCCTGTAGTTTGAAAGGGTTTTAAAAATAAGTACACACCAGGGGCACCTGGGTGGCTCAGTAGGGTGAGTGTCTGACTCTTGATTTCTGTTCAGGTTGCGATCTCAGTCCTGGGATCGAGCCTGCATCAGGCTCTATGCTCAGTGGGGGTCTGCTTGTCCCTCTCCTCCTACCCCCCTTTCTGTCTCTCTCTCTGTCACATAAATAAATAAATAAATAAATAAATAAATAAATAAATAAATAAATTTTAAAAAACTATTTAAAAAATAAGTGCACAACCCTTAAAGAAATAAAGAAATGATATTAACTTAAAAATAAATTTTCAAGCAAAAGAAGGAAGAAATGAAACAAAAACAGGTAGACCAAAAAAGCAGATCCCAGGAGAACAAGGATGTTAGTTGTGAAAAGGCTCAAACTCACCTACCAGAAGGCAAAAGCAAAGAATCCTGAGATACAATGCTAAATATCTATTTGATTGGCAGCTGCAGAATAACCTAAGCTCACAGGTGTTTATTGCATGCTGTTGTCAGTATCAAAACCCTCAACAGGGGCACCCGAGGGGGCTCAGTCGGGGGAGCCCCCAACTCTTGATTTCAGCTCAGGTCATGGTCTCAGTGTTGTGGGATGGAGCCCTGCGTTGGGCTCTGTGCTCAGTGTGGAGTCCACTTGGGATTCTCTCTCCCTGTGCCCCTGCCCCTCCCCACTATCACTCTAGATAGATAGATGATAGAATCTTTTAAAAATGCTCATCAGTATGAGGCAGGTTGAACAGATAATGTCACATGGAAAATAGCATGCAGCCATGAAAGCCTGGGGAAGGTCACCTCCAGGTGAGTTGGGAGGACTCCCAAGATAGATATTTTAAGAGAAAAAAAGCAAGATGCAAAATACAGTTTACAGTCAGGTACCAATCCCACAATGTGAAGAGATGAGTGTATTTATAGATACATACACAGATAAATATTTGCTCATAACCACATTTTACATAACTATGTCACTATCTGTGCATACGGCATCCCAGAGAGAAAACAAGTAAGTGGTGGCAGTGCTGCGAGGGAGGACAGCCTGCGCTGGGCTCAGAGTGTGGCACGGCGGCAGCGCTTCCCTGTGCTTCATTCTGTCCCCCTTGAGTTTGGGACAACGATGTAGAATAGGAGACACATTGGGATTTCTTGGGATAGATCTGGGCTTCACGGGGTCAAAGAGTAAATCAGTGAATTATAAAGTAGCACTTATGAGTTCACCCTGAAACGAGCACAGATAAAGAAGGAAAAAAACTCACAAAAACACCAACTAGAATGGGGCAGTGGACCTACAGGGAGAGTAAATCCCGAAGAACTCACAATGTCCATAGGTGGGCATCACAAGAACCCAGAGGCCGTGGCAGAAGCAGCATTTGAAGAACTGATGGGGGGGAAATATTCCAGAAATAAAGAGATGCATGAGCGCCCGAAGAGCAAGGATACAGTAGCCGAGTGTAACAGAAGAACAACGAGAACTAATATCACACTTGGTGTACTGAAGTGAAACCAAGGAACACCAAAGAAAGAGAGAAAATGTTAAAAAACTGTAAGAGGAAAAATACCAAACTCTCTCTTTCTCTCATTCTCACACACACACACACACACACACACACACTCAGGCACGCACATCACATACGTGTGTTTGCATACACAGACACACAGACACGAGCCCGTACACGCACACAGTGCACACAGGACGTGCACACTCTGCACACATACAGGGACACACAGACATGCACACACAGGGAATCCCTGGGTGGCTCGGGTCATGATCCCAGGCTCCCCGCAGGGAGCCCGCTTCTCCCTCTGCCTGTGTCTCTGTCTCTTTCTCTGTGTCTCTCATGAATAAATAAATAAATAAATAAATAAATAAATAAATAAATAAATAAAATCTTTTTAAGAAGACCTGCATGCACAGAGACATGCACACAGAAAGTGTGCACACACCCTTGCACAGAGACTTACACCCGCACACCTGGGCACACACACAGAGGAATGGAGAGGAAGAGCGAGGCAGCCACCCGCTCCACGCCCCCGTGGGTCACGCTCCAAAGCTGCCAGCGGGGACTGTACACCCGATCAACTCGCTCCTAGGTGTGGGCCTGGTGAACAGTGTGCACGAGACATGCCCAGGACGGGCACTGGCCATTATTTGCGTTGCTGAAACACTAAAGGCCGCCTCCGTGTGCGTCCATCCAAGAGCTGGTAAATGACCGTGACATGTCTATGATAAAATATATCATCAAATAGGGCACAGCAGTGAAAGTGAGTGCGGTGGCGTTAACTCGTCCCGGGACAGTGGAAGAAAACAGGTTGGGCAGCCCGGGGGGCTCAGAGGTTTAGGGCCGCCTTCAGCTCAGGGCGTGACCCCGGGGTCCCCGGATCGAGTCCTGTGTCGGGCTCCCCACAGGGAGCCTGCTTCTCCCCCTGCCTGGGTCTCTGCCTCTCTCTCTGAGTCTCTCAGGAATAAATAAATAAAATCTTAAAAAAAAAAAAAGAAAGAAAAGAAAACTGAGGAAGGTCATTTAAGTGGAAGGCATGTAGCCAATATTGTGTTATATATGGACACCTGTTATGTGATGAATTATTTAAAAACACGCGGGAATTTCGGGTATCAATTTCCAGATCGCAGCCCCCGCGGGAAGGAAAGGACAGGAGAGAGATGGGGAGCGATAGTTTGGGGTCTCCGTTGTATCCATGGCATTCCCTTGTGCAGGGAACACAGCCGACCGCTGGTTTGTGGCAGCAGAGAGGGGTACCGGGGGACCTCGGCAGGATGCAGGCCGGTCAGCGGGTGTCAACAGGGAGCGCGGACACTGCTGTGCGGGCGGAGAGGTGCCTGACAAGGCCTGGGCCATTGTGATGTGTCACAGGAGGTGATGCAACAGAAGGGCGGGCGGGGGGGGGGGGGGCAGCTTTCTCCCTGGAAGGAGAACCCCCGGGAGGGGAGCCAAGAGAGCAGCCCTGGACCCTGGTGGGGTCATGCTGTCCACACCGTAGCGGCCAGCCAGGGGCTGCTCTCCCCTCTGCCAGCGCTCTGCTGCCTCGTGGGGGGAAATGAGCGGGAGGCCAAAGCCAAGAAGGGGCGCCAGGCTTTTTCGGGCTCAATCGGAAGAGGCCGGCGGCAGCGCTAATCTGCATGTCGCGCTCCCGGAGTGCGGAAGCCCCGACCCCAACAGGTACGTACTAAGCTGCAGAGTCTCTTCCGTGGGATCTTAGGTTGTCCGGCCGGATGCCGCACGGGCTCTGCTTCCTTGGAAAACAACCCAGTGCAGGCCGTTCTCCCTTTGAGAGAAAGTCATCTCCAAACAGTTTCCTGGCAGGGTTCTCTTGATCGCAGGCCTTCCTGCGGCACGCTGTCCTCCTTCCAGCCAGGGATGCTTTCACTCATCACAGCGCATGGCGGCCAAGGGTTGTGGACCAGAAGCCACTTTATATGCTTTACTATTTATTTTTAAAGATTTTCTTCATTTAATTGAGAGGAAGTGCACAAGCGGGGGAAGCTGCAGAGGGAGAAGGAGCCGCAGACTCCCCACTGAGCAGGGAGCCACGATCCCAGGACCCCAAGATCATGACCTGGCCCAAAGGCAGATGCTTAACCATCAGAGCCCCCAGGTGCCCTGGAAGCTACCTTTTAAAATGAATGAGCCACAGCAGCAGCCGCAAGATTACTATTTCACTTTAAGAATTTACAGATTATTCCTGTTTTTACCTAGCTTGCCTGTTCTCTGTGATTTGCGGCATTTAGCGCAACACACAGTTTGGGACTCCAGACACGGAGTGCGTTTAGTGCCTCCTGGGTGGGAAGGGATTGCACGGTTAGTGGGCAGACATTTGGAGCCAATAACTGTGTCCTGTCGTCAGAGCAGGTGTGCACTGGCCGCCAGGAGGCAGCAGGAGGGCCAAAGGTGCCAGCCCCCCACCCCCACCCCCCTGCACCTGCCCCCTCGGCCACCTGCTGGGAGAACAGAGAGGAGAAGTGACAGGACGTCATGGGAGGGGTAACAGCCAAGCCCTTGCTCCGAACCAATGAGCGAGGGCCACAGAGTCTCCTGAAGTCTCCTGTCATCGTGGTGATGCGGGAAGACAGCTCCGGGCAGTCATAATCCAGGTGGCAAAGCAGCTGGGGGGCTCTGGAAAGCAGTGCCTGACAGCCAGGGTTTTCTCAAAACACAGAAGTAACCTGTCCCGAATATGGGAATGTGGCCACCCTCCTCTCCTCCAGCAGCAGGAAGGCTCCGGGGCTGGCAATCCACCTTTGAATGACTCTCTTTAGGCAGGGGACACCGCCCCCCACGCTGCCCCCTCCCCCCCCCCCCCGGTGACCAATAAATAATATTTACAGAGGATGTGTTTTCAAGATATACACCCCCTTCCACCCCAGCCGAGGACAAAGAGTGGAGAGAACCTTCTGGGTTGTTAGCACAGCCCACCCACTCTGGGCACCAGTGGGCAGGGGCGCAGCTCCTCCATCCCCTGCCCTGGGCTGGGACTGGCTGGCTGGTCCGAGGCTCTTCTGTGGTTTGGTGCGGATCTGAGCTGCTCCTGACTACGCAGCTCAGGGCCACGGGGCTCAGAGTAGCTTGGTGGATCGCCTAAGTGGTCAGCTGACTCCAAAAATTCAACACTGGGTAATCTGTTTACTGTCATTTGTGCCTAAAGCTAAAGAAAGAGCAAAATTTAAAGAAATGAACATATCAAGAACTCAGTGAAGTCACTCCCAGACTTCCTTAGCACGTCTTCCTGGACCTGGAGCAGGGAATCGTACCTTTTGGTTAGTGGGTCAGTTTAACAGTCAGAAACAAAGCCCGAATTGCTGAGGTGACTTGACAAAGCTCTGCCTCTCCCCTGCCTTGTGATCCATTTGGATCTGTTTTTTTTGTTTGTTTGTTTGTTTTAAGATTTTATTTATTTATTCATGAGAGACAGAGAGAGGCAGAGACACAGGCAGAGGGAGACACAGGCTCCATGCAGGGAGCCCGATGCAGGACTCGATCTCAGGACCCCGGGGTCACACCCTGAGCCAAAGGCAGATGCTCAACCACCGAGCCCCCCAGGGGCCCTTGATCTGGCTTTTTAAAAAATATATTTTGAGTGAGAAAAACAAAGTTTGCCAAACCAGAGGGCTTTTGTCCAGAAGCTCCTAGTTTCCTGAGCGTCCTCAGCCTATATCTGAACCTTTTTCTTTTTTTCCTTTAGAGAGTTGGGTGTGTGGAGGTTCTGTTTGCAAAGTTGTCTGGCAATGCACAGCCTCTGGGACCGAGCGGCCCGTCTCTCAGGAGCGCACCCGAACCAAATGCACCCACGGCACGCCCGGTCCCAGCAGCGCTGTCACAGCCCGGGAAGCCCCGCGACACTGGGGCGGGCGCGGTGTTCACTCAGCGGGGCACCGAGCCATAATGAGAGGGAGGACATCCACACACGGTTCTGCTTACTGCCGGCTCAAGGCCAGGCAGCCCAGTTCACTGGGGCAGAGGCCAGGACAGAGGTGACCTGTGGGGCGGAAAGCCCAGGGCCTGATGGGGACGCGCGGGCCTGCGGTGAGCTTCTGCTTGTTCTCACTGAGGTGACACGGCTGTGCTCATCCTGCGAAGGCCCCCTAGCCGGGCAGCTGGGGCTGGTGTCCTCTTCTGCAGGGATGGGAACCCCAATAGAAAGTGAGGTGAAGTGTTACAATTCTTTAAAGACCTTCCTCAGATAGTTGTTCCTTGGCCCAGTTCTTTCGCTGAGTGCCTGATTTCTTCCTTTCTTGTGTTTTCTTTTCCTTATTTTATAAGCGAGCTCCACACCCAGTGTGGAGGCCAGCACGGGACTCGATCTCGTGACCCTGAGATCATGGCCTGAGCTGAGATCAAGAGTTGGACGCTCGACCGACAGAGCCACCCAGGCACCTCCCTTAATACGCAATTTCCATAGAATCAGACCCTCACCCCTTCTCTTTCTGGAAGGATAACCCCTGTGTTCCGTCCTCCGTAGGCATCTATGCACACACGAGAAAGCCGGCACACACGCACGACGCAGATGGCCCCAGAGCCTCATGGTGCATGGCAGCGGGGGGCAGGATGTCTGGGTGCAGGCTCACCCGGATTCTGCAGCTCGGCGAGGCCGTAAATGGACCGCACACGCGGCCTCGGACGGGTGCATAGGCCCGCGGTCAGGGAACGGGAGGCTGTGGCCCGCTAAGTCCTGCTCCTCCTCTCCTAGGCTGACCCGGTCCACGAAGATGGTCCTAAGCACCTTGTGGATCCTGACGCTCCTCCTCGTAGGTAAGTCACACGAGGTAAGGCTCAAGCCGGGCCCTGGACGTTTCTGAGTGGGGACGGGGCCCTCACCGCTGTGAGGACATGCCAGGGAAGGCCGCAGAAGTGAACGCGTGTCACACTCACTCCTCCCGGGGTCTGAAGTGCAGGCCCCACGCGGGCCACGCGCAGGTGTCAGACGGCCGAGGTCCCACGTCACCACCCCTGACGCACGGGGAAATCGCTCTTTAATATAGGACACCACAGAGCCGGGGGCTCGGTCGGCAGAGTGTCTGCCTTCCGGCCGAGCCGTGATCTCAGGGTCGTGGGATCGAGCCCCACGTCAGGCTCTGCGCTCAGCATGCAGTCTGCTTCAGATTCTCTGTCTCCCTGTCCCTCCGCCCCTTCCCGGTGTGAATGCACACGCGAGCGTGCTCTCTTTAACACACAAAACCTGGGGCGCCCGGGGGCTCCGTGGTTGAACATCTGCCTCGGCCTAGGGCGTGACCCTGAGGTCCCGGGATCGAGTCCCACGTTGGGGTCCCCTCAGGGAGCCCGCTTCTCCCTCTGCCTGTGTCTCTGCCTCTCTCTGGGTCCCTCATGAATAAATAAATAAAATCTTTAAAAGAAAATAAAGTTTTTGCCTATTATGTTCGGTGTTTGGACAATCCCCAGGGATGGCTTCAAGTTCCCCCCCTTTCCCAGGGATTGCTGTGATTCCTTGTTGAGGGCTCCGGTCACTTGTTCACGTCGCTGTTTGCCACCTCATAGGTCAATAGTGACCTGGCAGAGACGTCCCAGAGTCTGCAGAGAGAGACAATGAGTCCTCTCCAAGTCTTGACCCTGGGGATCCCTTCAGGGCTGAGCCGGGCCTCCCACGCCCCTGCCTGCACCGCCACGTCTTGCTCACACGGAGCCCGCAGAGCCACGAGACGCGAGCCTGGATCCACTCTACCGTCCCTAATGAACACGCATCCGGTCTGGACCCGCGCATTGCAGTCCTCTTTTGCTTCCAAGTTCTGTTCTCACCGGAGACTCCCCCTCTGACTTCTCCTTCCTGTGCTTTGGGGTCTGTCTGCCACTTGCCCACTCACTGTCCCTTGCCCAGGTGGGTAAAACCAATTTATGCCCTTAAATTTTTTTTTTAAATTTTTTTTTTAGTTTATTTATGATAGTCACAGAGAGAGAGGCAGAGACACAGGCAGAGGGAGAAGCAGGCTCCATGCACCGGGAGCCCGACGCGGGATTCGATCCCGGGTCTCCAGGATCGCGCCCTGGGCCAAAGGCAGGCGCCAAACCACTGCGCCACCCAGGGATCCCCGCCCTTAAATTTTTTTAAAAGAAATTTTGTTTATTTATTTGAGAGAGAGAGAGAGAGAGAGCAGAGGGTGGGAGTGGGTGGAAGGAGAGGGAGACGCGGACTCCACGCAGGCGGCCCGTGGCAGGACTCGATCCTGGGACCTGGGCTGAAGGCAGGCACTTCGCCGGCCGAGCCAGCCACCCTGTCCTTAATCTTTGAGCGGACACCACAGCCTCCCAGGAAGGCCCTCTAGCCCCAGAGAGTGGGAACACCAAGCAGGCCAAACCTCCCCGTCACCGTAGCTTGAGAACCAGTGTCCATCAGCTCCTGGCACGAGCCACGTAGGCTCCGATCCCCGCAGCCACTGCCACCGCGCTGGAAACGGGACGGCAGCGGGGGAGCAGGAACCCTTCTCTCTGCCCTCTGGTTGCTGTAAGTTTGGGGTTAGTTTTCAGAGTCCACGAAAAGTAGATCCTGTTCATCTTTGGCAGCATACGGACATCTCAACAGAGAACTCGTTCAGCGCCCAGTGTTGCTATTTTCCCATATTGTCAGCCAAGGATCCGATATTCTTTTTACGAGCATAGGTACTGTTCATGCTCGGAGAAATTCTGGTTGATGCCTGTGAAACATCGGGCCGCCTGGCTGGCTCCGTCAGCGGAGCTCGCGACTCTGGATCTCGGCGTTGTGAGTTCGAGCCCACGGGTGTAGAGATGACTGACAAATAAAAGTCTTTAGAAAGAACGCATGTAGAGCATCGTACATGTTTGCAGACAAACCCTCTCATCAGAGTCGCTCTTTTCTTTCACAGGACTTGGAAATCATAGGTGGCTTAAAGAAGCAGAGTTTCCTCAGAAATCCAGACACTTTTATGCTTTAGTTGCAGAATATGGTTCAAGGCTTTATAACTACCAGGTGAGGTTTTGTTGAATCCTTGTGTACGTCACTTGCTTAGAATTTAATATGCTCCCACTTGCAGTATGTGACCTTCGTCTTGCATGGAAACATCTAATAGGGACAACGTAGGGACCAGAGTCCTAGTCAGTGGTTCTATGCCTAAGAGACCCTACACATTCTGATCCCAGCAGGCTCCTGCCACAGACTGAATGTTTGTGAACCTCTGGTCTTCCCTGTTTCTCCCTTTTGCAATGAGGCCGTCCCCCCTACAGCTGTCTCGTCCTTGTGTCTAGCACACACTGTGTGCGCACAGCTTCACAGCTGCAGGAGCTTCAGGAAGAATTGTACCTGGGATCACACCCATATCTGACTTAGGTGCTCTCTAGACGAGGTTTTGGGCTTCAGACTTTTTTTGGTTCATGCTGGAATGAGCCAAGACTCTGGAGCCTGTTGGGATAGAATGGATGCATGTTGGAAGCACAAAGGACTTTAACTTGGGAGGCCAAGGTCAGAATGCCACAGACTGAATTTGGGTGTCATCCCAGTTGAAAGCGAATCCCCAGGGGCCTTTGGGAAGTGAGGGGGTCACGGGGTGGAGCCTCGTGCCTGGGGTGAGCACCCTGCAGGAGGAGGCTCCAGAGAGCTCCCCGACTCCCTCTCCACCACGTGAGGACACAGAACGAAGACGCTCTCTGTGAACCAGGAAGCGGGACTCCCCAGACAAGGATCCGCCCACCTTGATCTAGGGTCCAGCCTCCAGGACCGAGGAATAGAAGAATCCTGTTCTTCCTGAGCTCCCCCAGCCTAGACGTTCTGTTACAGCCACTGGACAGATGCAGAAAGCTCTCCAAGGAAGGCTTCAGCCCCCAGAAACCTGCAAGTAGCACTTTGTTGTGAGGCAGTGGCTGGTGCTCTGGACGGGACAGCTTCCCCTTCAGCTGGGAGCCAGCTCCATCTACGTGGGCTTACACTGGGCCAGACAGCCGTGTCCTCCCTCCGGCCCACCCAGCTCTCCAGACGGCGTCTGCCTCCAAAGACCAGAGAAGGGAGGAATGACAGGGGCCAGATGAGCCACTGCTCTGTGGGAAGGACCCCACCCAGCCAGTGACCTTGCACCTGACCTCACGGCTGCTTTCCTCCAGATCCTGCTTCTCAGCTCACTCGGCAACTCCTATGTCTGGTCGTGTCCCTCCAGGGGGAGACCGTGCTGTCGGGAGGACCGTCCCCTGGGAAGCTCGTAGGCTGATACCTGGAATGGATCCCAGTTGCAGGGATGCCATCTGCCCTGCATATCCTGGGAATCTGAATAACGAGTGTCAGATCCCGGGTGAAAGTAGAGCCCCGTGGAAACCCCACAAGGAGGGTCAGCCTGAGAGAGCCCCCGCACACATGGCCCTCACATCAAAGACCAGGACCCAGGCCCACAGGAGCTGGGGCCGGAGAGTCCAATCACCTCCAGGAAAACAGAGATGAGAATTTCATGGGCATGGGCAACAGAGGCCTCCGGTTACCGCCAATTTGGGATTAATGCCTATTACGATCGTACGGGTCAGCTTCACTAGGCTATGCGCCCAGATGTTTGGCCAAACACTAGTTCTAGATGTTGTTGTGAAGGCTTTTTTTTATGTGATTAGCATTACACCGATAGGCTTTGAGTAAAACAAATCATCCTCTGTGCCGTGGGTGGGCCTCACCCAATCAGTTGAAGGTCTTAAGAGAAAAAGAGTGAGGTTCCCCCAAAGATGAGGAAACTCTGCCCCCAAATAGCCTTCGGACTTGGGCTGCAATACAAACACTTCCCCGGGCCCCCGGCATGCCAGCCTCCCCGTAGATGTCAGACTCACCCGCCTCCTCAATCCTGGGAGCCAGTTCCCTAAAATAAGTCTCTCTCTCCCTGTCTCACTCCCTCCCTCCATCCCTCCTCTCCACACATCCTACTGGTTCTGTTTCTCTGGAGAACCCTGACGAATGCACTCAAGAACTCCCCTGGCGGTTTGTCAGGGCTTTGACATTGGGCGTCCCCTCTGCCTACGATATTCTGGCCGGATCTTCAGGGGAGGCGCCTCCGTGACACCACAGGTGTTACCAGTTTCCACGCGGAAGGAAGCTGTGCCAGGACCCGCGCGGCGCTGACTCTGCCTTATTTCTAGGTGATTCCTTCCTTCCTTTTCTTTTCTTTTCTTTTCTTTTCTTTTCTTTTCTTTTCTTTTCTTTTCTTCTTTTTTGGTAATTTCTTTATAGATCCCAAGCTACAGGCAATAGAAGCTGTTTTTATTCAGTTAACAATAGATCTTAAACAATGTTCCCTTCTCTTTAGATATAATTTTAGAACTACGGCATTTTATGCCTAATATTCCAGTGGATAGATAGGAATAAGTTACATATTTCATAATATTTGTTTCCAAACCATTGGATTGTTTGCAACTTTCCGATATCATCAACACAGATGTCTCTGTTGCCAAATCTTTTCAACCACGCTTAATTTTTTCATTTAGGATAAACTCCTACAAGAAGGATAAATGATTCCCAGTTTTTAGGTGACCTTTTTATACTGAATCTTAAAGACTTAATACTGCCCTCCGAGAAGCTAGCTGGGCCCCCTGCATCTTCCAGGGCAGGAAGCCGGTGTTAGTAACTCTGCATCTTAAATGATTATAGGGACACGAAATACGTATTTCACTTTCTCCTCAAAATGAGCCTTTCTTAAGAGTATCACTAAATCCATTTATTAGGAAGCTGGCTTAGAACAATTAAGGAAATTAGTTGTGTGCCTGGGGCTCGAGTTCACACCCGGGTTCTGCCGAGAGAGGACTTGCCAGTGTGAACCGTGGGCCGCACATGCGGGGTAGCTGGTTGTACTGCCACACGGTGCCGGCCCGGCCACTGTCCCGTCACCCATCAGAGCTTCAGGTCGGTGACCGCACTGAGCTGCTCCCACCTGCAGCTGGTTTGCCTCGAGCGCCCTATAGGGCGCAGGCTGCAGCCATTAGGCCTCTAGGACCCACCTGCAAAGTGTGGGGCTCTTGCGGCAGGTGTTAAGGGGAGAGAGAGGTAACAGCCTGGTGAGGCGATCCGAAGCCTCCTGCGGAGTCGGTGCCCCCCCTCCCCGCCTTCCGGGGCCGCGATCTGGCAGACACCCCGTGCCTCCACGTCACCCGGGAAGGCAAACCACGACGGTGCTCGCTTGGGATGCAGCGCCTGCACTAAGAGTAAGACCACAGGGGCCGCCCGGGGGCTCAGCGGTGGAGCACCGGCCTTCAGCCCAGGTGACCTGACTGTGACCCCGGGTCCCGGGATCGAGTCCCGCGTCGGGCTCCCCGCATGGAGCCTGCGCCTCCCTCTGCCTGTGTCTCTGGCTCTCTCTGTGTCTCTGCATCTCTGTCTCATGAATAAATAAAATCTTAAAAAAAAAAAAAAGACCAGACAGAGAAGATTGGCATGACCCCCGTGCAGATTTGTGAAGTGTCTGAAATTGAGATTTCCATACTTTTAAGGGGAAAAGCATTTTAAGAAACATGACAGCAGTAAACGACACCGTGGCTCTGGCCACAGCTCGCTCTCCCGTCCCTCCTTGACCACTTCATCCTTCAGTTGATCGCAAATGCGGCTGACCCCAGACCCCAGAGAGTTCTGTGGGGAGGCCACAGCTGCGGGGCGGGACTCCCAGAGTTCTCAGGGAAGTCAGTGCTGCAGGCATCCATCCGCAGGCGCAGTGCAACGCAGCTTCTCCCACACCTTCGATTTTGGGGTTTTTTTTAGCAGTATGCTTAGTGAGAATTTTGGTCATCCTGGCTTCCCTGTGCCTCCAATTTGGTCTCTGATTCTAGAACCTGACATGGGGCCCACGGCTAACAACGTCCAGGCAGGGAAGGCTCGCCTGTGCGCCAGCCCACCACCCTGCACACGTGGTCACAAGGGGATGGGGATCGCACCTTCCAGCCTTCCATCCCCTTCTCCTTATACCTTTGACTTCCTTACTGGTTTATTGTCCTGTGGGTTTTCATACTGTATATGTTCCTACTGTGGAAGCCACTTGAAACCCTTTTTGGAGGAGAAGCCAAAATGAAATTAAAAAAACAATCCTGAGATCTTTTAATTTTCAAGGGACACTCACATGCATTTATCAGCAAATTAATGAGGGAGTATTTTCTACCCACCGTTTTAAGGCTAGAGTGGAAAGCAAGAGATGGAAGTTGAAAACGCTGCCCTTCCCGACAGGGAGCTTCCTCCAACAGAGACTGAAAACTAGAAATAAGTATCTCTCTCTCTCCTAAAAATAGGCTCCCAAATCCACGACCCTGGCAAAAGAAACACATTAAGGGGAGCCTATACGGAGTTAAATTGCTTGGCAAATTTAAAACGAACAAACGAAATAAAACATGGGGCTCCTGGGAGGCTCAGTTGGTTAGGCATCCAACTCCTGACCTCAGCTCAGGTCATGATCTCAGGGTCCTGGGATCGGTCTTGCATCGGGCTCCGCGCTCAGCGGGGAGTCTGCTTGGGGTTCCCCTCTCCCTCTGCGCCTCCCCCCACGTGTGTGCTCTCTCTCTTTCTCTCTCTCTCTAAACAAAAATGACCCCCCCAAACCCAGCAGTGCCTTTTTACTGCACACCAGGCTGCACTGCTTTTGCCACGGCGCCCTCCCTTGGGCCCTCGTGGGAGGCCCTCCCTGGCGGAGCCACTTTGCACAGCAAACGGGTAGGAAGGGGCCCAGGTGTCGGAGCCAAAGAGCAGACTGGTCAGCAGAGGAGGGCGGGGAGCTATTTCCCCACGGCCCATGGGTGGTCCCTGCGGTGGGCTGAAGGGTGACCCTCAGCTGCCCGGCCTGAGAACCTGTGATGTCGAAAGAGTCTCCTGAGATGCAGTCAGGGCTCCTGAGATGAAACCAGCCCGGATTTCCGAGGTGGGCCCTAGACCCGGTGATAGGAGTCCCCGCCAGGGACCCAGAGGGCAAGGCCGGGCGGCTGGGCAGAGACGGGGGCCAGGAGCCGGGAGAGTCCGGCCCCGTGAGGAACAGAGCCCCTCGTGGACTCCAGTTGTCACTGTCAGATTTCGTCCCCACGAAACCTAACTGTTTACAGGAAGGCTGACGGACACACAGGTGTATTAGAGGTCACTTGGTGTCCACCTGTCATGCAGGGACATCGGGGTGGAAAAGTGATTTCATTCCCCTTTATGAATAAGAACACTCATTCTGCTTGAATAGGTAGGATGCAGAATGATGTGGGTCCTCTGGTTCTTTCCAGGCCCGACTTCGAATGCCGAAAGAGCAACTGGAGCTTTTAAAGTGAGTGAGATTTTCTGAATCGTGGGACTTTCTGGTGTGACTCCAGTGGCGGAATGTTCCTGTAACACTTTGAAACTAAAACCCACTTCTGTGGCTTATTCTTTAAGGGAATGTACACTGAGTGGTGCTTTCAAGATTATTTATGACTAAAAAACAATGAAAACCAGCTAGATAAGAAAAATAAGCCAATGGTTAAGTACATTTGAGAACATGTAATGGAGAATTATGAAGCCTTCAAAATAACTATAATGATAAGTAATATATATTTAATGATTATAATAAATAGTAATATATCTTGTGCCTGGGAAGTGCAGCAGGACACAGGATTATAAGCAGGATCTCTATTTTGTCACTAATTTTTTGCACAGAATAATGACTGTTATAATGAAACGTAACTGTTTATTTCATGAAGATCTTGTGTTTTCCAAACTCTGACCATGTAGTTTTACAAATTGGGAGGAAAGAATACGAGATGAGTAGTGCTTATGTTCTTCACCAAAAGGAAATGCCTGCTGGCTCGACACATTCTTATGCTACCCACCAGTCATTTTCAAGCTGTAAAAATAGCAGGAGCCATTCTGACACCTACTGTCAGCAGGAACAGGTGGCCCCCCGGGGTTGCGGCCTCCAGCCCCTCGGCCTCCCACCACCAGCCTCTAGCCACACTCCTTTCCAGAGCCCCTAGGACCTCGGGGCTCGGGATGACCCCCCTGCTCTGTACCCCACTGGAAATGCAGGCTGTTCCCTTTTGAACAAGGGAACAAGGTGACGGGTTGGGATTAGGCTTCAAGCTGTGAGGTCCTGCAGCCTCGGGTCAGGGTGGCGGAGCCCCAAGGGAGGGACGAGGGACGGGTAAGGGTGAGCCCCACCTGCCTGCGGAGAGCACCCCCCAAGCTTTGGGGTGCATCCTGGAAGCTCCCCCTGAGTGTGCTTGCTTTTGTAGAGAGTGAGAGGTGGTGCTTTGGACGAAGGGCATCCTGAGCGCCCTCGCTCAAGACTTTGCCTACAATATAAAGCCCTTCGGCTCTTGCTCTGCTGCTCCCCAAGCCCAGCTGATGATGGGAGCTCACTTTCCTTCCTTTCACATCGGCGTCTCCATTTCCAGGAAGGAAAGCCAGACTTTGGAAAACAACTTCCGTGAAATTCTATTTTTAATTGAACAAATAGATGTTCTGAGGGCACTCCTTAGGGATACGCAGGAGGATCTGCACAGCTACAGCTGGAACACGGACCAGGATGAGGACCAGGACCCCACGGAGGCCACCGATGAGGTAGGGCGCCTGGGAGGGGCACATTCCAGGGCATCTGGTCAAATCCAGGGCTGGCTGCTCTGTGGCTTTGTCCTCCTCCTCAACACTCCCTGACAGCAGCTTACCTCCATAAAGCTTGCCACAGAAACCCACTTTTTTTTTTTAATCATTTGTGTATCACGGAGAAGACCGTGTTCCAATATAACTGACTTCCTCCCAAAATAAATAACCTGATTCTGTTTTATTTTCCAGTAAAACAGAAGATCATTCAGAAATGCAGCCCCTGAATGTCTATACACAAATACTTAGAATATTTTTATTCAAGGACCGTCTGAAGCTAGTGCACTTGACCTGTCCATTCCCCATTGCACAACACTGTGCTGGAGACCGAAGAGCTTGGCTTTGCTGCTTTTCTCGCTCTTCACTAACTTCTCTTCTTCCCTTAATGTCCACGTTTAAAAAAAGATTTTATTTATTTGAGGGAGAGAGAACAAATGGGCAAGGGGAGCAGCAGAGGGAGAAGCAGACTCCTCGCTGAGCAGGGAGCCTGCTGTGGGGCTCGATTCCAGGGCCCTGAGATCATGACCTGAGCAGAAGGTAGATGCTTCACCTACTGAGCTACCTGGGTGCCCTCCTCAATGTCTACTTTCTGAAGCACACACAAACAGGACTCTGACACCTCCTGCCTTCCAGGCCACATTTTGTCATGGCCCTGAGACAAGGGTCCACGTCAATTTGACCTTGGATGGTGGGTCCTCTCGGACTCTTGCTTTATAAAATCAGAACATCCTTAAGAAGCCAATATTAAGTGTGCCTGGGTGGCTGAGTTGGTGAAACATCTGCCTTCAGCTCAGATCACGATCTCAGGTCCTGGGATCCAGCCCCACATCGGGCTCCCTGTTCCGCGGGGAGTCTGGTTCTCCCTCTCCCTCTGCTGCTCCTCCAATATGTGCTCTCTCGCTCTCTCTCAAATAAATAAATAAATAAATAAATAAATAAATAAATAAATAAATAATATATATGTATATATATATGTATATATTTATTTTTAAAAGAAGCCCGCCTTAACTCAAAGGATGGATACTTTCTAACAAGCAGGAACTCCATGTAAACTGCCCGATTCCCAAATACCTACAGAACGATTAAGTCTTTAGGCAAGAATGAAGGGGGGTGCCCAGCAGGTGGCACACACAACCTCGTGTGATCTCCTCACTGCAGAGCATGACGGGGGCTTGTTAGGGATTCTGAAGGGGCCTTGGGTCCACCATGCCCCAACTTGGGGGTGTCTGGACACACCTCAGCTGCCCGGGGAGCAGCAATCCCACAGACCTATGGAGGGCACTGGAAATCTGTGTGCCGTGGCTGGCTCTGTTCAGCTCCCTAAATGTTCACTGCTGGTATTTTTGCAGATTATGACACTTAGGTCCACACCAACAAATTGTCAAAACTCATGCAGTTGGCCAGAATTGTTAACTGAAAACTCTTTCTAATACTTGTACAGGAAATGTCAAACTTGGTAAATTATGTCCTTAAAAAGTTGAGAGAGGACCAAGTCCAGATGGCTGACTATGCACTTAAATCAGCAGGTGAGTAAAAGCTGAAGAGTTAATGCTTCCAAAGTGTCCTGATTCTCCATATGATTTTATTTTATATATTTTTTATTTTTTTTAAAGATTTTTTATTTTTTATTGTTAAGTCATCTCTACACCCAATGTGGGGCTCAAAGTCACAACCCCGAGATCAAGAGTTGCATGCTTTACCAACTGAGCCAGCCACGTGCCCCCTCTCTATTTTTTTATTAAGAAAACATACTTATGTATTCAATAACTTGAGAAGAAGCCAAAATTCACAAATCTAGACAATGAGGAAGAGAATAGAAATGTTTGTAGTTAATTGTTTTCGGGGTGCAAATCTTGGAAGAAGCAAAACTGGGCATCTTCATTAGCATGCATTGAAAGGACCACAAAGGGGGGCGCCTGGGTGTCTCGGTGGGTGAAGTGTCTGCTTTTAGCTCAGGTCATGTTCTCAGGGTCCCGAGATCCAGCTTGCATCGGGGAGCCTGCTTCTCCCTCTCCCTCTGCTCCTCCCCTGCTCGTGCTCACTCTCTCTCAAATAAATCAATAAATGCTTTAAAAAAAGAAGAAGAAAAAAAAGGACCACAAAGGAAGCTGTCATGCCACAATGAGGTTGGGAATGCAGAAAATAGGACAAGCGATACAAAAGTTAGAACATTTTATATTTTATATTCTAAAATGACTGCTAATGACTAATCTAAATGTATTATCAGTGATTAAATGATGTTAAAAGACTACATTCTTAAAGTCTTCCAATTGAACTTAATTCTTAAGTGCTTACACTAAGAAACATTAACCTTAATATTCCCTATCTGCCTGTGATAGTCCGTACATGACATGTGCTCAGTGAGCAAAGGGGGAAAATATAAAACAAACGCAATAACGCTGATTTTTACCAATTGACAAAGCCAGATTTATACTGGGACAATAAAGTTGTGCCCTGTGTAAAATTGAGAGCATTTGGACTAGAATGATTATTCAGTTGTGTGTGTGCACGTGTGCATGCACATGGGTTGAGAGAGGCAGAGCAAGAGAATAGACCTGCCTGCATCCGAATTTCCTGAAGCATGGGGAGAATTAGCACTGAAATAAGACTTGGGGAGGTGAGAGGCACCTGGGTGGCACAGTCAGTTAAGCATCCGACTCCTGGTTTCAGCTCAGATCGTGACCTCAGGGTCGTGAGATCCAGCCCATGTTGGGCTCTGTGCTCAGCATGGAGTCTGCTTGAGATTCTCTCTCCCTCTCCCTCTGCCCTTCCTGCTCATGCTCGCTCTCTCAAATAAAGAAATAAATTTTTTTTAAAAAAAGGGGCAGCCCCGGTGGCTTAGCATTTTAGCGCTGCCTTTGGCCCAGGGTATGATCCTGGAGACCGGGGGGATGGGGTCCCATGTCGGGCTCCCTGCATGGAGCTTGCTTCTCCCTCTGCCTGTGTCTCTGCCTTTCTCTCTCTGTGTGTCTCATGAATAAATAAATAAAATCTTAACAACAACAACAACAAAAAGACATGGGGAGATGAACCAGACAGAGAATCCTTTTTTTGTTTTGTTTTTTTTTTAATACTGGCATTTAGATACACCCTTTTTATGCTTTCTTTCCTCTTTCCTCTTCTTTATTTTTTTATTTTTAAAGATTTTATTTTTTTATTTATGAGAGGCACAGAATGAGAGAGAGAGACAGAGGCAGAGACACAGGCAGAGAGAGAAGCAGGCTCCACACAGGGAGCCCGACGCGGGACTCGATCCTGGAACTCCAGGATCACACCCTGGGCCAAAGGCAGGCCCTAAACTGCTGAGCTCCCCAGGGATCCCTCCTCCTCTTTATTGAATGCATTTATAGCTTCCATTTCAAAAAATTCACGATGACAAATGCAAATCCAGCAATAGTCCATGTAGAACAAGGACGAGCAGAACATGTTACGGTTTCTTAGTAAATGCGAGCATGAAGTGCGTTGCCAGCTTCTGGTTGGACCAACGTGGAGAGAGCCCATGCCAGCTTCTCCCCTCACTGATTACATACAACTGAAAAATTTGGACAAATATACAAAGCAGAGCCAAAACCATGACCTGAGCCAAAACCAAGAATTGCCTGCTTATATGACTGAGCCGCCCAGGCACTCTTGACATTGTTTTTTATGCTTTTTTTTTTTTTTTTTTGCTTTTAGGTAGGTTGGGCTGACATAATAGTCTCATCACATGAGCTGTTAAAATATGGGGGTCTGTAAGTCTGATTAGGTAATAAACACAATACACATAAAATTTCCACCTCTGAATCAATTGTTCAGTTCAGAACTGAATCAATACCAGTTTCAGAAATGTTGTGAAACCACAAGGAACAAGCATGGTTTTCTCAAAGAGACAGAATCTCAGTGGTAATGAGGGCGGGAAGCCATACTTTCCCTACCAGTTCCCCAGTGTGAACTTCACCTTACTTGCAATTTGCCTGGGAATACTTCTCTAACAACGCTATGAAAATATAACTGATGTTGACTGGGTGACGGGCACTGAGGGGGGCACTTGACGGGATGAACACTGGGTATAATTCTATATGTTGGCAAATTGAACACCAATAAAAAATAAATTTATAAAAAAATGTATAACTGATGTGTTTGGAGACGTGTAATTCTCAATTTTGAAAGTTATTTTATCTTTTTAGGGGCCTCTATTGTGGAAGCCGGGACCTCAGAAAGTTACAAAAATAATAAAGCAAAACTTTACTGGCATGGGATTGGGTTCTTAACTTATGAGATGCCTCCAGATATTATCCTCCAGGTAAAAGTTAGACCCAGAGGAATCTATTTATACTTGAAGATTTTGTTCCTGTTAAGTGTCATGAAAATATTAACACCCAAAATGGAGACCAATCTGAACTTGTCACAGAACCTGAAACCATGTCTTTGCATTTTATTTTATTTTTTATTATTTTTTTAGAGACAGTGGGGGCAGGGAGGAGGGCAGAGGGAGAGGGGGAGATAATCTCCAGCAGACTCCCCGCTGAGCATGGGGCCCTATGTGGGACTCGATCTCACAACCCTGAGACCTGAGCCGAAATCAAGAGTCAGATTTTTAACCGACTGAGCCACCCAGGCGCCCCTACTTGCGTTTTAATAGTCATCAAACTATAGAAATTATTTCTTATTTTATGAGCAGTAATCTATGATTGATTAATTTGTAATTGTAAACTAGATGATTTACTACTTAAATAGAATGCTTGCATTCTATATCTTCTCCTTGAGTTGATTCTGTGGCCGCCCTTTTTTGTTGAAAACTTCAGTCTTCTAACAAACGTTATCTCAAGGTACATGCCCCTCGGTGCAGGCACTGCTGCACGCCGTTCGGGCTACACATTCTTACAGAGTCCAAGTATAACAGGATAAATTTCCAAGTAAGATTCCCGTGAAAACATCTGAGCTCAACTTAGAAGGCTCTAGGGAGACATCATCAGCTGGTAGCGCTCAATCTTAACTACAATCTACAAACCTGGAGTCAGTTTCCAAGGTAGGAATACCTCCAGGAGCAATTGTACAGATTTCATTCCAGACTCTGGATCTAGAAAATGGTACATTTTTTCTTCCTTACCACCACCACCACCACCATCACCTCTATCACTGTCTTTGCCACTGGCACGCCATCAGCACTCATGCCAACTGGCTGCCTTCTAGACATACAGACTAGTAGAGTAACAAAAGAAAATACACAATAAATAAATTATGCAATCATATTATAGATAATCCTATAATAAAGGGCTTTGAGTGATAGAAGCACAATCTGCCCTGGGAAAACAACCAAACCCCTGGATATCTGGGCAGTTTTCCTTCATACCATAGGCATAAGCGAGATCTGCGGTCAGTAGTGATTTGCTGACCAATGGTGCAGCGTGGATTTATACAAGATAAGAGATTAACCTGGTGTTTCCTTTCCAGCCGGACGTCCACCCTGGGAAGTGCTGGGCCTTCCCAGGTTCCCAGGGTCACGCCCTGATCAAGCTTGCCAGGAAGATCGTGCCAACCGCCGTTACCATGGAGCACATCTCGGAGAAGGTGTCTCCCTCAGGGAATATCTCCAGCGCACCCAAGGAATTTTCTGTCTATGTGAGAGGCACTCGAAATCCGTGTTCAGAGTGGGTTGTGCTAGGAGGGGGTTGGTTAGGAATCACACGCTGGGATGTCACCTGAACCATGTGGCTAACCATGTTTGTCACTCTGAGAAGGTTATTTCCTTCCAGAACCTCAGCTTTGCCATCTACAAAGACAGAGGGTTGGACCAGATAATTTCTCTTACTCTTTGTTTTTTTTACTTTTATCAAAGTTATATGCACACAATTAAAAAATCAACATTCTCATATGCCGATAATGAAACATTTTTTTTTCTTGTGCCAGGGTTTACACCCCAGCTTCTCTGGAAATTTCTACTTGCCACAGTTTTAGCTGCTCATTTGGGTACTTGCCTTCATATTTGCTTTTACCATTACTTCTTTTTTTAAAAGTCATCTCCATGCCTAACATGGGGCTCGAACTCACCACCCCAAAATCGAGAGTCACATGCTCTACTGACTGAGCCAGTCAGGTGCCCCTACTTTTACTCATGATTTTTCAGTTTCGATTATAATCCACTGACTTCCTCTGATGAAAAATGAAGATTAGTTCTCTTCTACAGCTCTCATTCTCATTCTCCTCCCAATTCTGGGGTCTGTCTTTTCTTTAAAAAACAGATTTACTGAGATGCCATTCACACATCAGCAGTTCACTTCCTTAAAGTGTTCACTTCTGCGGCTTTTAATATGTTCACAGACTTGTGTATCCATCACCACAATCAACGGTAGAACATTTTTATTCCTTCCAAAGGAAGGCTTGCACTCCTTCGTTGTCAGCTGTCATCTCCAACCCCTGGCACCACTGACGTGCTTTGTCTCTGCAAAGTCGCCTACTCTGGACATTTCAGTATAGGTGGAATTGTACAATATGTGGTCCACTGTGAGCAGCTCTTTCCATTTAGCATCATGTTGTTGGGGTTCACCTGTGTTATATAACGTGTCACTACTTCATTTTTTAAATTGCTGAATAATAGGAGCATCTGGGTGGCCCAGTCTGGTGAGTGTCCGTTCTTGGTTTCAGCTCAGTCATGATCGCAGGGTTCTGGGATGGAGCCGGGTGCCGGGCTCTGTGTGCAGTGCGACGTCTGCTTAAGACTCTGCCTCTCCCTCCCTGTCTCTGTCTCTCATTCTCTCAAATAAATAAATAAATCTTGAAAAAATATTTTAAACATTGAAAAAATAACAATAAATAAATTGCTGAATAATAATTCGTTGTGTGGCTAGACATGTTTTATCCATCCACTCACCAGCGGAAGGGCATTTGAATTGTTTCCCCCGTTTCGACTATTATGAATAGTGCCCTGAGAGCATTCGTCTTAGTGTGGACACTGGTGTTCCTTTCTCTGGGGTCTGAACCTGGAGGGGGAATTACTGGGTCACGCGCTAAATCTGCGTTTCAGGGTGGGGACCCTGGTAGATGCCGCATCTTCCTTTGAATCAATATGCGACGTTTCCACTTACAGTGTGAGTGGTGCTGTTCTCACCGAACCATAGAGTTCATTGAAATACTGTTTTCTTTGTGTATGATTTCCGATGTTCCTGAGGATAACAAATGCCTCATTTTAATTTCATTTGCTTACTTTTCTATATTCCTATCACAGAGCAATCCCCACCCCTCTTTTTCAGAACGGTAAAAATCCTGCCATCATGTTTCTTCATGTCAGGCACTTTCCAAGTTTATTCTTTATTTTTTTATTTTTTAAAGATGTCGCTCTGCGCCACTCTGCCCCTCGGCTCAGATCTGACCACAACTTCACGTCTGCATCCGGGGATTTAACTTAATCACCTAACCTATTATGTAAAAAATCTTTTCTAATTTCCCTTCTTTGTTTTTTGCTTCACCTTCTGAAAGATTTTTATCAAATTTTATCTTAACCCATATGTTGAATTTTTCATTTCCACTGTTGTGATTATTCTTAGACGTTTTTTTTTTTTCCTGTAAATAACTCCTTTCTTTTGGGTCTAAGTTTCTTCCTTCATGGATGCAATATCTTCTCTTAAGCTTCAGAAGATATTAGTGGATATTAATTAATCGTGTTGCATTTATCTTCTGCTCTCCCTCGTGTCTTTATCCCCAAATATCACTTTTTCTATTTGTTGAAAAGTGCTTTTCTCTCCTGGCTGATGATGCTTTTCTGTTGCATTTAGGAGCCAAAGGGTAAAAAGTCAGCTGAAAGCTCCGCACGCAAGATGCTGGCTACTGACAGTGAGGCACTTGGGTGGATGTTCTGTTTGGACTGTTTCTTCCGGAGCCCCAGAGTGTGATATGGGGCAGGTTGACCCTTGAGGAATTCTGCAACCTTGTGCTCAGGAGATTGCAGCTTTGCCACCATCCATGGGGAGAATAGGTTCATGCACCTGTCCCTGCAACTCCGTGCCTGGCCTCCTGCCCTGGCCCTGCCTCTGCCCATTCTGGGAACTTGTGATGGCAAGTGTAGACATGCTACTGGTCCCCCTCCAGCCAGGGCAGTCCACCCACCCATCGGCTATCTCCAGACTTCATCTTAGGTGTTCCCTGTTGCTTTATGCCTTTCTTCAACTCCTTGCTGGCCCTATCTGGATGGGAGGCTTGGAGTTAAAACATGGGTGCCCACCCTGCTTTGTGCACCCTTTGAACACTTGTAGGTGTCATGATTCTGGGTTACAAGACAGAAAGGAAACCACTGTCCTTCGATGCGAGCCTGATGCTCTCCGCAATAGGTGTCTGATGACACCTGCAGCTGACACGGGTTGTATTTGAGTAGCTGGAACCCTCTCTCAGAGAGGCACACCCAGGTGCTCATTACAGAGGAATTATGGGTGACCCTTCAGGCAATAAAATTCATTTCTCATCATTTCTCTGTCTCTCTTTTTAAATATTTTATTTACCCATTTGTTGGAGAGAGAGAGAGAGAGACAGCAAGCGAGCACAAGCAGTGGGGAGGGGCAGAAGGAGAAGCAGGTTCTCTGTGAGGAGCCCAGTGTGGGACTCCATCCCAAGACCCCAGGATCATGACCTGAGCTGAAGGTAGACGCTCAACCACTGAGCCACCCAGGTGCCCCTTATGCGTGTATGTTTTTTAAAGATTTTTTTTTAATTTTTTTTTTATTTATTTATGATAGTCACAGAGAGAGAGCGAGGCGCAGAGACATAGGCAGAGGGAGAGGGAGAAGCAGGCTCCATGCACCGGGAGCCCGACGTGGGATTCGATCCCGGGTCTCCAGGATCGCGCCCTGGGCCAAAGGCAGGCGCCAAACCGCTGCGCCACCCAGGGATCCCTGTTTTTTAAAGATTTTATTCACTTATTTATTTGAGAGAGAGAAAGAGAGTAGGGTGGGGGCGGTGGGGGAGAGGAACAAGCAGACTCCATGCTGAGTGCAGAGCATGACCCTGAGATCATGACCTGATCCAAAAACAAGAGTCGGCCGCTTAACCAACTGAGCTACCTTGGCGCCACTCATTTGGTGTTTATTTAATTCAAGGTATGCCAACTGCAAATTCCGTCATTGAGCCAGAGTGAATGGTGGGATTTCCTCTAGTTCCCTGTCTTATCTATCATCTATATCTATCTATCTATCTATCTATCTATCTATCTATCTATCTATCTATCTATCATCTATCTATCATCTATCTCTATCTACCTATGTATCTATCATCTATGTATCTATCATCCATCAGTCAATTGATCAATCTATCTACCTATTGTCTATCTATCCAGTCAGACCTGTGGTCAGCCTTTTCTCACCTCACAAGCCCCTGAGTTAAACACCTGTTGGGTGTCAGGGCAGCACCAGCACCTGGCACAGCACCATGGCCCTGGTGGACACCCAAAGATGTCTTGTGAACTGTTGCTACCTGGACAGATGCCAGGCTCTGTTTATTGAACCAAGCATGCACTCATGAGAACCCCCTTGTCTGTTGCTTTCCTTTGCAGGGCATCTCGAAACAGTGTGAGGGAGAAGAGATTTTCCTAGGTCAGTTCGTATATAACAAAACAGGAAGCACTGTTCAGACATTCGAGCTCCAGGTAATGAGAGCCCTGGGAAAACACAAGGTGTAAGGAAGTCCATTCCCGGGAGGGGTCCTTCGGTGTTGTGGATGCAAAGTGTTGTGTCAGGATGATTATGACAAAATTGCAAGCTAAGGAAGGCTTGGCTAAAGTTCAATTTTAGCTCCACGTGCTGCATGGATTTTAATGCCAAAAAAAAAAAAACATGCAAATACCAGAGTGGGTTCTAAGCCAGATTCTTCCTCATTTGCTATCATGTTTTTGTTTTGTTTTGTTTTACTATATTTATTTTCTCAGTCCTTCTCTTACCTGTTGGGCTCCCTTGATACTATTGGGTTTGGTGTCTCTATGTCACCTCCCATGGAGATGGTTGAGGCAGACAGGAACTCAGGAAGAGAAAATAAATATCAGACAATATGAGTAAAATCCCTCTTCCTGACATTGGGGAGTGTGAGGAAGAGAAAATGAGGGGAAAAAATACCACCTGTTAACATCAAAATCCCTGAAAGCCATTAAAGTATATGAAATATGTTTTCATTATTTGTCATTAGCCACAGGAAGATTTAGAAGGCATTGCTTACCAGGTAAAAATAAGTGTGTTCTGTATAATATGCTGAGATAATCCAAGCTGAGAACAATATATGTGTTAGAAATGAATGAACCTAATGAACCCATAGAGTTTCATACATGATTATTCATCCATTCCTCTCTCACTCCCACCTAGGAGCGCTGTAGGGCGGGGGAGTGGGGGGGGAGCACTTAGTGTCCAGATCACCACATTTTCTCCCACCTCGCTATTGTCCTTCTTACGAGCCCTGTACGTACAGGCTTATTTTCCCATCCATTAGACTGCGTGTTTTTTTTTTTAAGATTTTATTTATTTATTCATGAGAGACAGAGAGAGAAAGAGGCAGAGACACAGGCAGAGAGAGAAGCAGGCTCCCTCTGGGGGAGCCCGATGTAGGACTCAATCCTGGGACTCCAGGGTCACGCCCTGAGCTGAAGGGAGATGCCCAACCACTGAGCCCCCCAGGTACCCACCTTGGGATTCTTTGAGAGGGATTTCTGTATAAGGCATTCATTTGTATCTTCTCTTTATTTTCAGCATGATGTTTTTGAATCCTTATCATGTGTAAAACTGAAAATCCTCAGCAACTGGGGACACCTGAAATACACATGTTTATATAGATTCAGAGTCCATGGCACCCCAGGAGAATACCCCTAGAGGACCCCCAGCAGACGGCCGTGACCACAGGTCCAGAATACGGGACTGTTCTTATTCCTTTAGGTTCATCGCACCCATAGGAATTGAAACGGGAGTGGGAGGGAAAACTCAAAGTGGTTCATACCTGCCAATAAAATGTGAATGAGTTTTACTAGTAAAAAATAGAATAAGTGCAATGTTCTTGTGGTACTTTAGCTTTTGAGGATGAATCAGGTGAAAGCACTGAAAGGAAAGCATTTGGAAGAAGCTGGTATTATTCTACAGTCTCTCAGACTAGCATCTCTGCCTTCATTACTCATGCAACACTAACTGTACCAGGCATGAATGGCACGGATGCCCACCACTACTGTCGTGCCATATACGTATACGTAACAGTGATCTAGCAGTGACTGCAGGCACCCGTCAATGCAAGCAGGTAAGCCTAAGAAATTAGAGGTGAAAATCAGAGAGGAATCTGACCATGTGACTTGCAGATGGCTTGGTGAATTTCTTGACATGCAGTAAAATCAATGAAGGAATAGGTTACAAACAAGGAGAAACCACAGGAAATTAGTGTACAAAATTATTATATGGAAATTGGCTTCATTCATAAATACAAACAACAACCAGTTAGAGGATACAATTTACAAAAGCTGTAACAAAGATTTCAAAAAATAATAAGGGGCCTCTGAGAGGCTCAGTTGGTTAAATGTCTGACTTTTGATTTTGGCTCAGGTATGATCTCAGGGTCATGGTATCGAGCCCTCTATCATGCTCCATGCTCAGCGGGGAGTCTGCTTGAGATTCTCTCTCCTTCCATCCCTCCCCCTCCCTCTCTTTCTCTCTTTCTCTGAAATAAGTAAATAAATCTTTAAAAAAAATAAAGTAAATTGGGACTACTGTACAGTACAGGAGTCCCGATTCTCCTTGGGGGACATGTTCTTGGACCCTCAGTGCGTGCCTGAATCTGTGGATAGTCCTGAGCCCTATATATACTATATTTTCCCCTCTATACACATACATATGATAAAGTTTAATGTATAAATTAGGACAGTAATAGATCAACAGTAATAACTAACAATAACATAGAATAAGTGTAATAATATATGGTAATAAAACTATGTGAATGTGGTCTCCCTCACACATCATCCTTCCTGGGATGATTGAGAGGATGAGAAGCCCACATGAGGGGGTGAAAGGTGAGTTTTGCAGGCTTGTGACCTAGGGTTAGACTGTACTGACCTCCTGACAGCACATCAGAAGGGGGATCACCTACTTCAGGACCACAGTTGACCCTGGGTACCTAGAACCTGGGATAAAGGGAGTCCATCACAAAGAAACCCCCAAACATCGATGGATCACTAAATCTCCAGTAAATGAAAAAACCTCTCTGATCTGAGGATATGAGACCTCCACTATTGAGATGTCAAATCTCCCTAAGTTAACCTATACAATCAATCTGATCTCAGTGAAACAGTGGGAAAAAAATTGTATTTATGAGATGATGATGGGATCTTATTTGGATTTATTGCTAAACACAATAGGTGGCTGTGTATTCTTATTGCTTAGATTTGTATATTTAGACTTATGCATTTATATAATATACACTTACATATTTTATATTTACATTTATGTATTTAAGTTTTTACTTACAGGTGAAATACAATATATTTGCCATATGTCTCAAAATTATATGTGAAGAGGACAAGTATTGATGGATTGATGAAACAGACTGGCCGTGACGTTTGGTGCTGGTCCACCAGGGTTCACTTACACTATTCTGCCTAGATTTAGTATCCGTATTTGATATTTTCAGTTTTAGAAAGTTTTTTAAAGGATTAAAACACATATATACCTAGCAAACCAAAAGAGCTGTGTTTTGAACCAACTGATTCTAAAGTTCCTGTGGAAATAGAAACTTGGTGGGAAGCCAGGAAACCTTTGAAAGTAAGAGAATCAACAGAAGTACCTCCCTACCATAGTGATTTATAAGAAGAAAGATACGTGGGACGTCCTCCCCCTTCTGGCTCAGGGCTCCTTGAAGCCCTTGCAATTCACTAAGTGACGGGAGCCATAGGGTGTCTCTTGTTGTGCTAATGAGACGACCTTGGGAAAGCACTTTGGTTGCCAGGGAGCCAACCAGGATTAGAGGTTTCACATTTTCAGCCCCACCCTAAATTTCCAGGGAAGGGATGGAGGCTGAGGTCAGTCACCCAAAGCCAAGGATTACATCAGTCATGCTTACTTAATGAAGCTTGTGCAAAAATCCGACAGGTTGGGTTTGAAGAGCTTCCAGGTTGGTGAATGCAGAGATTTGGGGGTGAGTGGTGGTCTGGGGAGCAGGTTTAGGGGTAGGGCCTAGTGTAGTCGTACGTGTAGGGTTAGGGATATGGGTATGGTCGGGGTTAGTGTTAGATAGAGTGTAGGTTTTGGGGTAGGGTTAGGGTTCAGGTTCCAGTTAGGGTTTGGGTTCGGGTTGGGGTCAGAGTTAGGGTTATGATTAGGGTTCGGGTTTAGGGTTTGTGTTAGGTTTAGGGTTTTGATTAGCGTTAGGGTTCGGGTAGGGATAGGGGTTAGATTTATGGTTATGGTTAGAGTTGGCATTAGAGTTCGGTTATATGTGTTAGGGGCGTGGGGATTGTGTTTGGCTTTTGGTTTGATAGGTGTAGGTTTAGGTTTAAGGTAAGGTTAGTATTAAAGGCTTAGGGTTATTGTCTGAGTTTGGGTCTTGGCATGTGCCTGGCACTGGGTTAGGGTTAGGGTTATTGTCTGGTATACAGGTAGAGTTTGGATCTGGTCATGTGCCTGCCACTGGGATTCATCTCCAATGGGTTAGTTTTAAGTGTTTTGTTTAGGTTTTGGGTAGCATATGTGCTTGGCATCCATCCATTCAGAGGCTTCTGCAGACAATCCAACTCCAGGCTTCTGCTGGGGTGAGAATAGCCATGGCAGGCATCTCCTGAGCTGGGATAAGGAGGAGATTTGTGGCTCTAAATACTGTTTATTTTAATTTTCAGTTTCATTTGTTTTTATCTGTTGTGCGCACCCGTTTCATCAATTCTAACAATTGTTATTTTAAAGTTTTACTTGAATTCCCGTTTGTTAACACAGTATAATATAGTTTCAGGTGTTCCACATAGTGATTCAACCCCTTGGCTACAACGCCTGGTACTTGTCACAGGTGCCCTCCGTCAACTCATCTCCCATTTCCCCATCCCCCCCGCCTTCCTCTGGTATTTATTAGTTTATTCTCTACGGTTAAGAGTGTGTCTCTTGGTTGGCTTCTCTCACCCCCCCCTTGCCAATTTGTTTTGTTTCTTAAAATCCACATATGAATGAGATCATATGGTATTTATCTTTCTCTGACTGACTTAATTCAGTTAGCATAATTCATTTTATGTTGTAAATGGCATTGTTTCATTTTTTTTCTGATGACCGAGTGAGGTTGCAGTGTGTATATTTACCACATCTTCTCTATCCATTCATCTGCTGATGGACATCTGGACTGTGCCCACAGTTTGGCTGTTGTTGATAACGCTGCTACAAACATTGGGCTGCGTGTCCCCCTTCCAATCTGTACTTTTGTTTTGTTTTTAAGATTTTATTTATTCACGAGAGACACAGAGAGAGAGAGAGAGAGGCAGAGACACAGGCAGAGGGAGAAGCAGGCCCCATGCAGGGAGCCCGATGCGGAACTCGATCCCGGGACTCCAGGATCACGCCCTGGGCTAAAGGCAGGCACTAAACCGCTGAGCCCCCCAGAGATCCCCCCTGGATGTTAACTCTTTATTGGATGTGTCGTTTACAAATATCTCCTCTCGTTTTGTATGTTGCCTCTTAGCTTTGGTTGTTTCCTCCATTGTGCGGAACGTTTTCAACTTGATGAAGTCCCAATAGTTTATTTTTGCTTTTGTTTCCCTCGCCTCAGAGGCGTATCTAGAAAGAAGATCCAATGGCCAATGTCAAAGACATTGCTGCCTATCTTTTCTTCTTCTTTTTTTTTTTTTTAAATTTTTATTTATTTATGATAGGCACACAGTGAGAGAGAGAGAGAGGCAGAGACACAGGCAGAGGGAGAAGCAGGCTCCATGCACCAGGAGCCCGACGTGGGATTCGATCCCGGGTCTCCAGGATCGCGCCCTGGGCCAAAGGCAGGCGCTAAACCGCTGTGCCACCCAGGGATCCCCTATCTTTTCTTCTTTTTATGGTTTCAGGTCTCACATTTAGGTCTTTAATCCATTTTGAATTTATTTTTCATATACGGTGTAAGAAAGTGGTCCAGTTTCATTCTTTTGCATGTGGCTGCCTAGTTTTCCCAACACCGTTTTTTTTGTTTGTTTGTTTGTTTGTTTTTTGTTGTTTTTGTTTTTTTTCCCAACACCGTTTGTTGAAGAGACTGTCTTTTTGCCGTTGGATATTCTTTCCTGCTTTGTTGAAGATTAATTGAGCATAGAGTTACAGGTGTGTGTCTTGTTTCAGTTTTCCATTCTGTTTATTGATCTACATGTCTACTTCTCGTGCCCGCACCATAGTCTTTGGATCACTAGAACTCTGTAATATAACTGGAAGTCTGAAATTGTGATGCCCAGCTTTGGTTATCTTTTCAACACTGCTTTGGCTATTTCCAATCTTCCATGGTTCTATAGAGATTTTAGCATCATTTGTTTAGCTCTGTGAAAAATGCTATTGCTATGTTGACGGGGATCGCATAAAATGTGTAGATTGCTTTGAGTAGTGTAGCCTTATTAACAATATTTGTTCTTCCAATCCTTGAGCATGAAATGCCTATTTTATTTGTGTCATCTTCAATTTCTTTCATCAGTGTTGTATAGGATTTACAGTACAGGGCATTCACCTCTTTGGTTAGGCTTCATCCTATCTTATTACTTTTGGTGCTAGTATAAATGGGGTTGAGTCCTCAATTTCTTTCTGCTGCCTCATTATTGTTGCATAGAAATGCAACAAATTTCTGCAAGTTCACTTTGTGTCCTGTGATTTTACTGAATTTATCAGTTTTAGCC